AGGAGCATCTGATTCATCTAGTATATGGAGCATAGTGGCAGGACCATCTGATTCATCTATTGTGGCTAGTGTCGTAATTATTATGAAGCATCTGATTCATCTGGTGCGGCTGGTGTCGTAATTATTATGAAGCGTAGTGGTAGGGGCATCTAGTTCATCAATTGTGGCTAGTGTCGTAATTAATGTGGAGCATAGTGGTAGGGGCATCTGGTCCATCTATTGTGGCTAGTTTCGTAATTAATGTGGAGCATAGTGGTAGGGGCATCTGGTTCATCTATTGTGGCTAGTGTCGTAATTAGAATAAAGCATGATTTATCCATTGTGGCTAGTATCGTAATTATTATGCACCAAAGTAGTAGGAACATTTAGTTTATCTAGCGTATTTTACTTTGCCCTGAAAATATATTCTAATAAAGGTTATCCAAGGACAAACCCTCGAACTACGATTACTCACTAATTAGTCAGTTACAGAATAACTACCGTGTGCATGTTTACAGTTTGGTTAAATCAACATTTGGTTGACTAGACAAAATCGATATTTATTTTTTTCTTCAAATAATGCTGTATAACCAGGTCATATTTATCCGCAATTGATCAATGTCCGCTTTACATCTATGATATAATTACCATCTATCTGTTGTATTTACTGATCTGAAGCTACTTGAAAGAACTTATTGTTTATAATTACAAATATTACTCTTCTAGGTCTAATGATGTCTGGTTAGGAATAAACAAATGTGGAAATGTTTTTAAATGGTTGACAGGAATTGAACTTTGGCCGCCTCTGTCGTTGTCGGACGGCCATCTAAAACTGGATGAGGCACATATCCATGTTAACGAGGATTCCGTGATTCATATAGAGAGCGAAAAATATCCATTTGTTTGTCAGCCAAGGATCCCAAGCCGAGGTAATCATAAAATATAGTACTTCTAGTTTGGGTGTTTACGCAGATGATGGTGGTCACAGTTGTATTTTACACAATAGTTTCAAGACGCTGACTCGCCAGCCTGGAGGTTTCGTGTTCGATGTCTGCATTGGCCGAGAAAGTTCACTTGGATTTTTTCGACGTGGTTTCCCCTTGCTGAACAGAGGGCCTGGCAAGGACAGCTGTCTGGTCATTCGGATGGGACGAAAACCCGAGGTCCTGGGTATACATTGGCGTGCACGTAAAAGACCCCTTGGCAGTTGGAATTTTGTGTAAGAGAAGCCCATAGCGCCGTTGCCCGTCTTCATTAGCCGAGTCGGAGCAGAGCAGTTGGACGTTAAATCCCATTTCATTCCATCGTGAAATGAAGGGAAATAATTACACAATTTGGACAAGGAATTTTAAGCAAGCAAACAAATGAAATAAAAATAGTATGGTGGTATAGCCGAATGGATAACACACTGTCATTGGTCTGAAAGGGGTCCACAATCGGCAAAAATATCGAAAAACATCGAGATTTTTAGCGCCTAACGAATCATAGACGAAATGTAATGTTTCGCTTTCGGTTTTCTCCTACTTTACGATCAGGTAACAGTGTAATTGTTTTTTATTTATTTATACCAACGATTTGTTTTAAAAAAAACATTACTCGGCATAATCCCGGGCCCCATTAGGCTCCGGGCACATGGCTGCCCCCCCCCCCTCCCACACACACACACACATGGCTCTTGCAATTTTGGTGTTCACTACACCAAGGAAATACTTGTTTATCTTTTGCATTTAAACTACTGCGCAGGTGACTGCTGTTGGCACTTAAGGTGCTCACTAACTTAAACTAACAATACTTCTTGGGAATTCAAACCAATGGACTGGCGTTTGTTTCAAGGGTTTTCTTCTGCACTTTGACAGCGGCTTTGATGCCACTTCTCATTTGAAGAGCCGAGGAGAAGGGGGGGATGGTTAACGCGTGCGCCATTGAGTCAAATGGCGTGGTTTCGATTTCCCGCTTGTAGGTGACAAGAGGTAGGGTCGAATATCCAACCTCGTGTGTTTTTTTCGGGTTCCTCGGTTTCCTCCCATTGTTAAAGATACATTCCCGCGTACAAACTAGGTGATTTGATGATATATTTGGACCTAAAACATATTCAAACTAATTAATTTATCATAATTTTGCTTCAAATCCTTCTCAAAACATTGTAATTGCCAAGGAATACCCTGCTATAAAAATCGATCAAAATAGGTCATGTTTGTGTCACGTGACTTACCTCTCTCTTTACCTATAGCAACAGGGCCGAAGTCGGAGACGAATTCATTGTATACACAAGACGATGTTGTCTTTAATCGCTGACTATTTATTACAAATATCGAATCCTAATTAAATTCTCGGATTATCCACTGCCCGCGTCTTTTTCCATGATTTTTATCTCAGAAAGTGTTGTACGTCTAACTCTTCATAAAGTTTATCAACATGTACACCAAGCGGTCAATCTTCGCGTGCAACCTTCGACGTCACGCGTGCAGGTATTCCTAATCGTCGGGCTGTCGATTAGGGGAACCCTTACATTTTTGTCCTGTATACGCCCCATGGGTGTTTTTCAGGGAATCCAGTAATTTTCTAGTAAGATTGGATATCTCTACTTTCCATATATACCAAAATTGCCATACTTTTATTGGAAATAACCACCCGATAAATACTTTTCTGGAATAAAAATTTTGAAATAAAAATCGAACCATGTATTAGTTACGAAATGACCTAGTTTGAGTCTAGTGTATGTTATTTTTCTTGACTATTTTTTAATTATTTTATTTTCATTTAGAAGTATCGAGAAATGGCACTAATAATTTGACCAACTATTACAATCTCGTGGCCAGTAGGGTACTGGTATTCGGGATCTATTTAAAGGAATTTACCTATTTAAAGAAGACAGAGTGTGCTATGGAATGCAGTAAGAGCCAGGAATGTTACAAATATACAAGAAATGATTTTGTTTGTAGATTATATGGTAATGTGTGCTATGGAAATGATACTGCTGGTGTGCCATTGTGGCAGAGAACAGGCCACATTTTATTGTAAAGTGTATTCTTCACATTTGTCCATTGTCCGTTGGTTCTTCAATTTCTTGTGAAAATGATCACAAAAAAAAATTATTCATTCGCAAATACTTTTAAAATTTCCCCACTGCACACTGTATAGCGTATGCCCGCCTGCATTAGCCCTGTTGGGGCATAACAGTAGGACGTTAAACCCCATTTCATTTATTTAGATTTTAAACACCGAGATCGAAATGTCTCTTATCTTTTCTTTTTTGTGGCAATAATGTTGGATGTTAAAGTTGCAATTTCATTTTTTTAAATTATATTTTTAAAATTTATTAAAATAAAGCCTTAAAATAGATGGTATCTATAAACACTCCTACCTTGTTAAAGAATAATGCTATTAATCCTATAATTCACTAATGACAGTTGAGAAATTGGCAAATATATCATTTTCATCTTCAAATTCAAACGTTTGAAGATAACTACTCCATGGTGGAGAATAGAAAAAGGGAGGTAATTGGGAGGTAATTGTGTTATTATTTCCGGTGTAAATGAGTTTTAAGTGTGAGAATGACACCTATGATATGTTTTGACTTTCTTAGAAAATATGAAATTGTAACTTTAAAGATATGTTCCCTTGGAACGCATTTCATTCGCCTCATTTCCTATTATCAAGACGTATAAAGCTTCTACGACCAGAAATTAAATGAAAGTATTTAACCAGTCAACCAGTAAAATAACCCTGCCATTTAAATACATTCGGTGAGATCAAAGACAGACGGCACATGTCTGCATATAGCATAGTAGGGCGGGGTCCTGGCCAGAGACAACGTATAGTTTTTCGTATATAACGAATGACCGAGGTCTGGTGACAGTTGAAATTCGATATAATAGTAGACCGTAGTGCACACTGTATGGCGTATGTCAGTTTTCATTAGCCCAGTCGGTGCAGAACAGTAGGACGTTAAACCACATTTCATTGCATTTCATATTGCATAGTATACACCAACGAGAGCGCGAGGGGAGGAATGTGTGACGTATGTCTGCATGCCTTTTGACCATGGCGAATATTTTAATACAGTTTATCTGAATTTCAAACTACTCGTCATTAATAGAATTTTTATCAACAGGTAGTTCAGATATATTAATCAGCAGATATAGCAACAGAGTTGTTTTCCCGCTTCCCAAAGTAATATATCTTTAAAAGATCCAATTTGAAATATGTTAACTTGATAACATTGGTAATTCATATTCCATTATATGTAAGAATTCAATAAACTAAATACCGTTTGTTGATTTAAGACTTGGAGTGTTTATTTTCAGCTTAATGACACCCTTTTGGCGCACGGTACCTACCATAACTAGGCCATAAACATCTTTACCTCAGACTCATAGACAAATTCTTAGAATGGAGAAATAGCCTGGTGAATTTGGTGGGAAAAGTACTGAATAGATCGATTATCTGGTACATTTTAAACAAGTGGCAATCAGCAACTTGTAATGTGTCTCAGTGGGGATGCTGGGAAATTGTTAGGAGAAATAAAGCCACAACAAACGTAGTCATGCCTAGAATTATTACGTTCATTAAACAGTAGTTATAATACAAACATAGAGGACGATCTTAGTCTCATATAGGGTGGGATACCGAAATAGACCGAGGTACCGTGATGAATCTTTAAAGGCGCACCATATTCCCTATTCTGGGATTGCTTGATGTACCACTCCTGTGCTTCTAGAGAGAGAGAGAGAGAGAGAGGGGGACGGGAGGGAGAAATGTGGTTTAACATCCACTCGACACAGGCCATTTCTGGACTAACATAAGGTCCAATTTTATTTCAATAATTCGCTTGCGTGTAGGGGTCATTAGCAGTAGGGGAAAACTGGAGGGCCGGAAGAAAACCCACGAAGTTGGACAAGCGACCCAATAACAGACTTATTGTTTAGAGACCATTTTATTAGTCACACCAATAGTTTTCATATTTGTTTATTAAAATTCAATCTTACAACAAATGCAATACATTACCACAGAACTAAAATACATGTCATTAGATAAACTGGCAGAGATATTATGGATGTGTTTTGAGGCAATTTGGGCCTGCATTAAAATGCCAAGATCGATAGAATAAATCAAAATAAATTAATAACTTCAGTCTTGGTTTCAGCTTCCTTTAAGATATTCAGTTGGAACATATAGTTTATTTATTGTCTCTCAAATAGTAAATCGCTATATCTGCTTAACAGTTATTCTCCACATTTAAAAGTAGCTCTTGACTGCCATAAAAAGGCTTGTCAGCGACAGCAATGTTATACTAGCAACTGTCATGCTTCCACCTATGATAAAAGAAAACCAAACAAATCTTAATAAATGTTTATGGGGTATTTGTCGTGTTTTTCAATCTCTTTAATGTTTGGAACCCTATTCCACCACAAAAACGTCCTACAATCGATCGTTATTCAAAGGTACAAAACATAGATACCGGGTTTGTCAGGCACCCTAATTGACCCCACCACAAAATAATTGCCATATGCTTGCTTTGAAATCAATCTCAACACGATAGAGGCTACATGTATGCAGCATTGGGAAGGCGACGAATGTATAAGAGAGAGAGAGAAATGAAGTCTAACATCCGCTCGACAAAAACTAGGTCATTTCGTGACTAACATATCGTTCATTTTATTTCAATAATTTGCTCGCGCCTAGGGGTCATCAGCAGTGGGGCGAAACCGGAGGACCCTGGGGAACTCTCGACGTTGGGCAGGCGACCATACTTCTTTTCACGTACAAGAGGGGAATCGAAACCACGTCACTTGAATCAATGACTTATGATATAACGCCTGCCAAGCCTATAGATCATACATCAAGCACAGATCCCCCTCCCCCTCACACACACACACCATTCGAATGACTAGACATATTATTCTACAGGTAAGCATTAATTTTGTACAAAATGAAAACGATGTTTAATGTCAAAGTGAGAATTGTTTTAAATATTAAATAAACTCACCACATTTAAGTTCATTATAATACTTTTCATATTGTTCTTTGTTATTTCCACTGAAACAGTTAGCATCTTGCAAGCACTTTTTGGCTTTAGCTACGGAACTGAAAAATATTGAATAGACTAATAACACACTACACATTAATACATTAATGTATTGATTCCGAATAAACAAGGGGTGCCTCCGGCATAGTTAACTAGTATATTCAAGTAATATTTCCTCGACAGTCGCGATCCCCCCCCACCCACGCGGCCACCCTCTCCCTGGACAGCGACGTGACTATGTATCTTTCGGTTGACTGGGTTGGCATTCGCCGGGTCGACGGGTATATTTTGCCAATCGACATTTGCGAGCTGGTTGAGTTTTTGTTCATAGTTAATTTTGCATTCTTCAATATAAAGCAATGCGAGTAGTATTCGGCAATGAACTCATATAACACATATAGTTATGTATATTTCAGTAGTCAGACCTCGGACATATTCCCACAGATACACTTGGAAATGTCCCAAGGATACGACAATTCTCAAGGGCGGTTGGAAACAAACCCCACCCCCATTAAGAATTTAAAGCCTAACAACCCATTCAAAGTATAGTTCCAGCAAGACTGTCGACAATCTACTTTCAACTAGGCTTATGAAACTGTCTCCCACAATATTGAAAACTGAAGTTCTACCTATTTATCAGGCGAAATGTTATAACATCACTGCCACCTATTTCATTTTTAAGAAAAGTTTTATTTATTTAAAGATGCATTATTTAGGAGCTAAATCTACTTTTTTCAGGCCTTTATTTTGGCTTCAAATATTATATAAACAATTATTTAGACAAGTATTCACATGATAAGCCTATAACCAACACTCTAGATCATCAAAACTTCAAACAGTGATAACTTCGCTCCGAATAAAGTAATTGAGTTGATAACTTCGCTCCGAATAAAGTAATTGAGTTAAAATTTTTCATTAACCTATTTTTGAACTGTTATAGCAAGAACGGTCAACTCTTTAAAGAAATCTGGCATAATGCATCTTGAAGATGTGATAACGACGACATAATCTGATTGGTTGATGTCGTGTTTATACTTGATATAGATTGGCTTAAACAATATTTATTTACCAAGTATCAATTATAACATAACATATATAATACAGAAACTAGCTAAAAGCTTATATAACATTGGTTCATATATATAAATTTGTTTCAGTTTGACGTCAGGGATAGGTTAAATTGACTTGCTTCGTCAGATAATTTTGGGCAATATTATCTAAACTGGGCGAGTATACTTACTAAAGTCGTTGTAGTAATACAAATTTACGTACGTAACTAACGTACGAAAATTAATTGGTGGCTAGCTTTTTTTTCGCACGTATACAGTGAATGGCCATTTTGCTCAGTAATCCCAGCCAGAATTTGGCTATTTTCTAAATTTGCGTTAAAGTTTAAGATATTTGTTTTAGAACTGAAATAAATTAACTATTAGTCAATCCCAACGCTAAAAACAACAACAGAATTGATTGTGTATATCTGAAATAGACACGACCAACGCACAAAATAGTGCCAAGATGGCAGCCTCTATGAACAACCATTCGCAGACGCTGTCATTGAAGACGACGTCAATTATATGAGTTGTAGATGTTATTTTTGTGAAAAATCATTGGAAGAAGAGAGGAGAATCCAGAGGAACTGTCAGGGCCAACACTAGGAACGAATCTACCACCGCCCGAATACCGAGCCAGCGTCTTACTCACTGAACCACATAAGTTTCACGTCTTGGTACTTACTTGCAGTTTTTACCTCCTGCCATTGCACTCGCACGGCATTGTATACCCACAGCATCACAATCAACTGCTGCCGAAAAGTTTAATACGTTGAAAACTGAAATTTGGAAAATAGAAAAATGAGTAAACTAGGCAAAACGATTGACCAGATGATTCGTTAGCAATCTGATTAAAACACAGATCATATTGGATGTTAATGTCCTACTTTAATTGAGTTTATTTCTATCAAGACATATCACGGATCGATTAGTTTTAGAATTATCTGTACATGTATCTCTCTAAAAAAATAATAATAATTAATACAAAAAACAATGATTATATGATAAAATTTTCATTGACAAAGGCGCGTTTTGGATGTACGCGTTTTTGCCGATTAAATGGACAGGTCCCATAATATGAGCCCGTTTTCCATGTACGTAATTAAAAGGGTCCCATTACATTTGTATTAGACTATTTCGCCAGCTAAAACGCACACATAGAAAATGGGTCTAAGACCGACTTTTTGCCGGCAAAAACGCGTACATAGTAATTTATCACTGATCTTTAAAGATGCATTATCATAATTTAAAACGGATAATGACAAAGATTGAAAATTTCAGTCAAATTACTTTGATATTTAAATGACTAATTTCTATAAAATACCCTCAGATCACAATTTGATCCAAATTAACGGAAACCAGCAAATTAAAGATATTGCTATACAGATAATAAACAGTACTTACACAAAAACAAAGCGAGTATCAATGCAGTATTCATGGTTATGCGAGATTTTAATTGTATACTGGTTCGTTATAATTGTTTAAAATACCCAGTCCGTGTTAGGGATAACGCCCACAAATCAATGTATTTATACGTTATCTCCACCAATCAAAATACACGTAGAACGTATTTCGACATCTTCCAAAAGGGATTGGTTTGGCCTCGATCAACTCCACCATTTTACTAATTGCAACGTTGGAGTTTTTTCTGCACCTCTGTGTATGACTATGGTACAAAGTCCAATGTCGAATAAAGTAATTCACTGAAATTTCAATATATCTATAGATTGGCAGACGTTTTGAATTTATTCATCAAAGCAGAGCAGGACTCGTATTTGGGAATAAACAGTACACTCGGTCGCGTTAATATTGCTTCACTTTTTAAATACTCCATGATCGTATTCACCTGATTTACTACGCATGTCGGGGGAGGGGGGGCCGAATGGTTAGCGCGTGAGCGTTGCATCATAAGGTCTGTCACTGAGTCAGCTGACTCGGTTTCGATTCCCCGGTTGTACGTGATAATTAGTAGGGTCGCCTGCACAAGCTCGTGGGTTTTCTGTGGGTCCTCTGGTTTCTTCCAACTGCGCGCAAGCGAATTATGGAAATAAAACTGAACCCTATATTAGTCCCGAAATGACCTAGTTTGTGTCGAGTGGACGTTAAACACCCTCTCTCTCTCTCTCTCTCTCTCTCTCTCTCTCTCTCTCAATTCTATGGATTGCAATTACTGTTTATTACTTTGGACGCTATTGGCTCATTCCATGTCAAGTGGACCAAAGTCCCAGAAAGTTGTTAAGTGACCCCCTCAGAAAATTATGAAAAGAATGTATGTTATAGTACATACAGTCTTATGTAAAACTGCAAAGTTATATGACTCAAGCATTAATATTGACTAAGATATGAAGATTTGAATCGGGGTACCCTTTCGCAATATATTTTGGCGAAAAAAAATAATTAGCAATATACATATTTAAACGGAGTGACATGTTTAAGTTCAATTGATGAATTGTAATAATTTTTGGACCATGCTGGGGCTTTATTTTCTTGGTTATAATGCCTCTTTAATAAATAAACCGAAAACCGCTGCTTATGTTACAAAGTCTTATGTGATGAATGCATGACCTGATCAAAGAGTTCAGTGTGCAATGTACTTTTGTAATTGGAGAGCTGTAATCTGTGGGATTGAGTGGTCGATCGAGTAAATAAAACTTAAAACTTTTGGTCATAAGGTATGGCATTGGGTCAAGTAGTGTGGTTAAGATCCCAAGACTGTACGTGGCAAGGAGTGGGCTCGCTGCTAAAAATCACTACGCGCAAGAGAATTATTGAAATAAAATTCTATCCCAAGACTGTACGTGGCAAGGGGTGGGTTTGCTGCTAAAAATCACTACGCGCAAGAGAATTATTGAAATAAACTTCTATCCCTTGATAGTCCCCAACCGAGCTACTTCTTGTCGAGTGGGCGTTAAACACTTTTACCGGAGAATGGCCACAGGTACATGAGGACAGGAACGCCCTTCTAACCTATGTGATTTTTCTCAAAATGTTTGATTTTGTTGGGGGGGGGGGGGGGTCTTCATATTTTTCCAAAAAAAAATTAATCTTCTTTATTTTTCTTCCTATTTGGTGCTAAATCATATAATATTTACTATCAAACATGTTCGTATCAAAAACAAATTATACCTTCTGATGTATCTAATATTTTTAGATACCTCTAAAGGTATAATTTTTTTTTTATTTTCTCACATGAACATGTTTGATAGTAAATATTATATGATTTAGCACCAAATAGGAAGAAAAAAAAGCAGATTAAAAAATTGAAAAATATTAAGAAAAAAACCCCAGAAAATCATCAAAATATTTTGAAAAAATCACATAGGTGCACCATACAAGGGCGTGCCTGTCCCCATGTACCTGTGAGAATGGCAAGTTGTACGGCACATTGACTAACAGGCCATCCCTCTATCTGTAACAGAACGGATTTTGAACCTCTTAAGGTATATACATTAAAGAGGCATTATGGAAGATTAGATAAAGAGCTGGCAGTTCTCACTATTATAGTAAAAAACAAGATCATGCATATGTTTAAATACAATCTACTTATATTGGTAGTTATATTTATCAGTTTTATCTCTCTTAGGATCGATAATAATATTTTGTTGTTTATTGCTGACAATATCCGTGAGTTTTTGTGTCTTGTCCATTGGAATGTCGTCTCTCTTTCTGTTTGCTGCGGTTCTCATGTGTGGTAATTAACGGCATTCGTGCCTTTAGGATGAGTATCGTTTGAACGTTGGCGTATATGCAAAAGATTCCTTGGCAGGTGAAATTGGACGAAGAATGAACGGAAACGGCGCTGTTGCCTCATAGCACACTGTATATCTTGTGTTAAACATCAAAATGGATAATCGAGACTTTGTTTTATCTCGTATCGACTTTAGCAATGATGATCGAGGCTAGGCCTAAAATTCTATCCCTAACATCTCGGTTTAGAGTGGAGCAATTTGACTGACATTTTCAGCATATTCCCTTTATGTTATCCATTATAGCGAGAACTGTCCACTCCCACACTTTATCTAATACCCCATAATGCCCCTTTAACTATTAACGATGTCTTAACCTATTTGTTTCGTATTTTCTATATTATTAAGATCTAATTTCAACATTCCCGATGTAACTGAAAAGTCAAACGTTGATGACGGGGCAAATATCTTATCAGCCATTATTTGAAAGAGGTGTTGATATCAAAATTGTTGCGAAATTTAATTTGAGGGATTGAATGACATATTCTTTTTTTAAAAGATAAACAAATTGAGGTAAATATATAGGGGTGCTTTCCCAGCGTTCATTGTCCCACACGAACAATCTCAAAATTAATCATCATCGCACCACCATTGCAGATCAGTTGATGGTCGACCTAGTATGATGGAAGCATAGCGTTACCTTAAATGTGAATGAAATGGGGTTTAACGTTTTACAGTTCAGGAGAGGGAGAGGGGTGTACGTTGGATCAAAAGGTTTGTCATTGAGTCAAGTGGCGTGGTTTCGATTCCCCACAGGGTCGCCTGTCCAACCTCTTGGGATTTCGCCTGGTCCTTTATACATATTATGTTAATTGTTTGTCGATGATCAAAGGTGGTTCAATTTCAGAGAAAATATACTTGTGCATATTTCTTCGATCTCCATATTGTTCCTTGTAACCGCCCAGCGCCTGATCTTTGCTGCCAACTCACCCGCTTCCCTTTTGATGGTGAACTGGAAAGCCAAGTGACTCGGTGAGTATTGCGACATCGGCATAATTTTATATATGGTACACCTGATAATCAACGGTCGGTAAGAACTGGGTATGTCACGAAGAGGCTAGGTGAGTATTGCAGATTTAACAGTCGGGTGAGCTTGTCTGTCCGGTCCTCCGTACAGGTGAATGTTTCGAGTCTGTCGGCGATCTTAGAACTAAATCTCCGCATCGTAAATCAATAGGATTCTTCCTTTCAATAGGATAGACATGTAGATTTCATGTTTATAACTGCGCAGGGAAAAGACTGTTAGGGCTAGGGTTGCTATGGCGGGATAAACCGATCAAGGGTGCAATTATTTTTTTTATACATATATTTTTATACATATACTTTGTTGTACAACTTAACTTGAAGAAAAAGATTTAATTCATATGTTTGACATATTTAAAATGTCTTTTTTTTTCATATTGCTAATATTAGGATCAAAGAGTGGCCAAGGGCATCACTGAGATGCAGAAATTATTTACACAAGCTGTTGACCCGGTCCATTATGTATATCCCTTTAGTTCATGTTGTGCAAGTTATAAATATTCCCTTTAAATTTTTTTCTCCTTTTCCTGCTTCTTTTGGTTGACTCTTTGGTCTTTCATATCAGTTTGGGTCAATACTGATAATATTATATATATATATAGGAGGGGTAGGAGGGGTAAAGTGTCTTTGAAAAGAGCAATTATTACATCGGGAATGACATTTTCACCCCAGTCAACATCAAATCCTCCTAGAAAAAATCTAAACGCCCCCCCCCCTCCCCCCTTACCACACACAAAATTATGATGAGGAGAGCGCCAATGCGGTCCCCTATAAAGATTAAAGATTGGAACCAAGGGAATGTTGAGCAAAAAGCTACAGCCTGTGATGTTACAGCTATTCAACATTGATGTCAAGGGGCAAATAATAGCTAGTCCGTATGTAAACTATACTCATTGCATAGGTTATATTAACGCTTAAAAGACAATATCGGTGTTAGCTATTTTCACAGTCATATGTGATAGAACTGGTTAAACACGTTCCAAGTGACGAATGTAAAAGGAAAACAGGAGTTACCATGCATTACCATGTTTTTTATTAAGTATAGAATAAATAAAAACAGAAATGAAAATGAAATGAAATGGGGTTTAACGTCCTACTGTTCTGCTCCGAACTGGGCTAATGAAGACGGGCATACGCCATACACTTATACAGTGTTGTGAGGGAAATTTTGCCCGGACAGCGGCACTACGGCTTACTTTTATATCGAATTCCAACTGTCAAGGGGTCTTTTACGTGCACGCCAATGTGTACACGGGACCTCGGTTTTTCGTCCCATCCGAACGACTAGACAGCTGTCCTTGTCAGGTCCTCCAAAACTGCATCACTGGCAAGGGGGGACCACGTCGGAAAATCTGGATGAACTTTCTCGACCAATGCAGGGATCGAACACCCGACCTCCAGGTTAGCGAGCCAGCGTTTTACCCACTTAGCCACGTGATCCCCAAGCAATTGAATGTACAGGCTATTTCTACTGAATTACACACCTCCAGATTACATCTCACTCTCATATAGCAACTACTTTAAGGTGATTATTCCCCGGCTTCGTACCCTGTTAGAGATGCGATCAGCTTGTTTGTAGAAATTTAAAGAAACATATAATTCCTTTACTCTTTCTCTAAGAAAAACTCTAACTTTAATAAAACTAGTTTATTGACATTAAATCCTCCGTTTTGATGTTTATGTCGGTCAAAACTGGTGGTACATTTTTTATTCTTTGCATACACCACCTCACCCTTTGGAATAGGGCGTTCCTTAAGATATTAGTGTTCATGTTGAGTAATCTCTTACATTGTCCAGACAATAGTAAGAAATGTGTACATAAAGTCCATAAGCAAACCCATTGCGCAATCTGACAACAGGGCGACAGTCAGGTACACTATCTGTGCTTTGGTAGAAAAATTGAACAATTCTGTATCTGCATTGTGTATCTATTTTGCAATCGTGAACGCCTAATTCAATTAAAACCTAAATAAATTATGCAATATTTTCCTTCAATAACCTGGCTGGTTAAATAACTTCTATAAAAAAGACCACGTCTTCATTATAGCCTGGTTTGTGTCGAACGGTAGGACGTTAACCCCCATCTGATTCATTCGTCTATATAAAACACAAAGCCGTGATTTAAATAGCCTATTTATTAGATAGGTTAATACAGGGATCTAAACATACGACAATGAGGATTTTAATTATTCTCGCTCTGTACATATGTAAGTATAATTTATATCAATATCGAAAATATTGCCATTTTTAATCACACCACAACAAAACGCAATTCTTTATATGCCTTTTAAAAAAAGTTGTTATATTTTATGTGTTGATGATTTATTAAATATGTTGAGTTATGATTTTTTTATATACGAATTTAAATTATTGTTGGTTAAGCATATTCCAATAAATTATTCGAACATGTCTGTGCTAGATGAAATGAAATGAAATGGGGTTTAACGCCCTACTGGCCTGCACCGACTGGGATGCTTCATTAAACAGGTTATTAATTTCTTTTATATATGATTTAAAATGTTATTGTTGGGTAAGCACAATTTAATAAGCAACTAATTTGTATAATCTGCGCTGGAAATTGTGCCTAGTCGGTCGGGTGGGACTGAAAACGGCCGTCCACCCGCGTACAAAATGTTTATCTACATGTTGGTTTTTGTTTAAAAATTAAAAATCCCGAAAGGACAATTTTGCATTCATTTATTTGTCAAATGCCGAGTTTATATGATCGTAGCAGCCATGATGGCTAAGTGAGTAAGACGCTTGCTCGCTAGCCTGGGGGTCGCGGTTTCACTCCTGGTGTTGACCGAGAAAGTTCATTGGTATTTTCCGGCGTGGTTCCCCCTTGTCCGTGGTGCAGGACGGAGAGCTTGACAACGGCAGTTGTCTAGTTGTTCGGATGGGACGAAAAAACCGAGGTCCTGTGTACACACTGACGTGCAAGTGAAAGAGCCTTGGCAGTTGGAATTCAATATAAGAGTAGGCCGTAGCGCCGCTTCCCGGGGAAAATTTCCCTCAAAGCAGAACAATAGGTCGCTAAACCCCATTTTATTTCATTTTATGATCAATTCATTTTTATATGATCGTTTCCCCAGGTATAGTGCCGTTGATCCAGCAACGAAATTCTATTTTTTGCAACGTTATGGTCTAAATATTCTGGACTATACATAGAGAAAGGAACTTACCGGAGATGGATTATTTATGTTTTCATGTTATTACAGGTTTGATGACTAGCAATAAAACGACGGCTGTGTGTACTGAATCTAGACGTAAAACGTGTGATGAGCCCCACTTGAAAGCTTTACTTAATTTATCTGACAGTTTAAGCAAGCCTGTGGAAGAAATAAGAAAGGAATTCTGCTCGTAAGTGTTTCAATTTAACTTTATATCTAATCTAAATCGTTGTATAATAGAGATGGTGTGCACGTAAAAAAACCTGTGGCAGTTGGAATTCGAAATAATAGTAGGCCGTTGTGATGCAGTCCAGATAAAATTTCCCTCATTGCACCGGAATGGCGTAGGCCCATCTTTATTTAGGAAGTGGTTTCATTTTTTGTACGTCCGATGGCCTCCACATATGTAGTAAAACGAGATTTTGAACTATAAAACAAGAAACGAAAATAGGATCTATCTTTTAATCAGATTGTTGCATAGCCTAATTCACGAAAACCAAGGGTTCTCAAAATCCTCTTTAATCTGACACTTTTAAATCTAGAGTTTAAAATCGCCCTTGGACTATACATTGTGACTCGGTATTTATGGATTTTGAATCTGAATTATATGAAAATGAATGATAATATATTTTTTATGTGGTTGAAATTTTAAGCATTTAACCCTCTTTTACTTTTACTTTTGATTTTCTATTTTCTACTCTAAATCTCATTATGAACCTTATACCCCATCTAAAAAAGCTAAAAAAAAAAAAAAAGAAGAAATTAAACACCTTTCGTCTGCTAATAAAGGCGCATTGAGACCTAATTCATCCTCTTTTATAATGGATGTTAACGATTGGACATTGGATTATATAATGTTCAGAATTGAAACTCCGATAAGATAATTTTCATTTATTTACATAGTGTAGTACTTTGGTCCTCGAGACCATATTGTATGTTTAACTAATTATTGGTTAACACTTTCTATAGAGTCAAATCCTACGTACTAATGAAAGTGAATGATACGTGATATTTTGGTAAAATCCTTACCATTGTCAAAATTATGACGGGGGATTTGAGTCAAAAGTCAGTGCTATGTTGTTAGTGCTATTACATGTCCAATGTTGCAAATGTTGAATGTAATGTGTAAATTGGACTAAGTCAAAAGTAAAAAAATCCTGTAATACTGACAAATACATCGTGTAAAATGACATCTACTTTTTGTCATTTAACATTTCACAACAAGCCGAAGTCCATCTACCCAGAACTTTAAACACTGAACTCTGACATCTTCTCATTTGACACTCGCCCCATGTATTGTACCCTTCGGCATATGTCTTGTGTATCGTAACACAGAACAAGTGATGAAATTAGCCAGTATGCAAATTAGTTCACACGGTACTTATTTTTGATCACGTGACATCTCAGCTGTATGACTGTTTTGGTGCTGTCATCTTTTGCATTATAAAGCTATTCTGTTCATAAATTATATAATACCCATCCATGGGCCATTGTTCATTCTTCTCCTTTTATTTGTTGAACTATTATATTTTGTATTATATATACTTCTCATGAAGGGCAGGATGGTTGTTGTGGCAACTTTTTATGTCGACCACATTGCTCATGGACTGCCGCACACGTTCACACAAAACCCTGGCGACTTCAGAGTAAAATTCTTCGTAGGAAAGTCTATGAATTCTACGAAAAATCTCTTGTGTTATATGTGGAAGCCGGGATATTTTACTTTTCTTTCTTTATGTAGAAAAAAAATCATGAAATCAACACCCGGTTGAAGGTCTCATGCGGGGGAAATTCACTGCTAGAAAATTATGTTTTCTTCACGCGAGATGTCACGTGATTAAAAATAGATACCGTGTGAACTAATTTGCATACTGGCTAATTTCATTACTTGTTCTGTGTTACGATACACAAGACATATGTCGAAGGGTACAATACATAGGGCGAGTGTCAAATGAGAAGACGTCAGAGTTCAGTGATTAAAGTTCTGGGTAGATGGACTTCGGCTTGTTGTGAAATGTTAAATGACAAAAAGTAGATGTCATTTTACACGATGTATTTGTCAGTATTACAGGATTTTTTACTTTTGATTTAGTCCTATGTACACATTACATTCAACATTTGCAACATTGGACTTTAATAGCACTAACAACATAGCACTGACTTTTGACTCAAATCCCCCGTCATACAAAATATCCATCAAATTCTATCTGTTTATGACATGTGTTTGGTAAACCAAATAAGGTATAATGTTCTCCCCCTGGTCTTGGGAGAATGGCGGGGTTTATTCCATATTTGGGAAGGAAATTACCCAGAAATTAACGTACAGAAATAAGGGGGTTATAAAAGAGGGTGTTGAGCGAAATTGACCAGAGCTCACCCAGATATTCCTAGCAGCAATCATCTATACTTTATTGAGAACAAGGAACGAGCCCTGCAACAAGTTTAATAATAAAGCTGTAGAAACGAACTAACCTGCAGTTTTATTTACGATCACAAAGGAAACATAACATGGAAGTCCGATATTACTACAATGGGCCGAAAACTTAAAAAAAAGTTTATTTTCATTTGGGTGTAACTGTATAGGTTAAATTTAATGTACAACCAAACTGGATTTGTGTGCTCGTGTTAAAGGCCCTTTTAATTTATTTACATATACCGAAAAATTATTTATATATTGTAATTTACGTATTAATGTATCATTCATTAAACGAGCTAACTTAATTTAATGTACACCAAACTGGATTTGTGTGCTCGTGTTAAAGGCCCTTTTAATTTATTTACATGTACCGAAAAATTATTTATATAACGTTATTTACGTATTAATGTATCATTCATTTAACGAGCTAACTTAATTTCTTGGAATGCCCGTTTACCGTGTGACATAACTGTTAAATGATATAACGGTGTATCTATCGGGGAACTTTAACGTTAATATCGGTTTCAAATAGTTTGAGGGGGGGGGGGGGTGGATGGCCGAATGGTTAGCACGTGCGCGCTGCGCTGTATCATACGGTCTGTCATTGAGTCAACTGGCGGGGTTTCGATTCCCCGGTTGTACGTGACAAGGAGTAGGGTCGCCTGTCCAACCTCGTGGGTTTTCTCCGGGTCCTCCGGTTTCCTCCCACTGCTAAAGACCCCTACGCGCAAGCGAATTATTGAAATAAAATTGAACAACGTGTTAGTCCCGAAATGCTGAAGGCACATACCAGGTCCCTAAATTAGGAAGAACAATTTACAAACTTATATCTGCAGCCGTTTAAACACATCAAAATTTGTCCATGTTAAAGTATAACACCATTAAAGTCATTTAAATATTATTAAACGTTAAAATCACTTAAATGTCACTTTAAATAAACTCAAATTATTAACTTTAGCATTTATTAACGTCTAATTATAATATAATCATAACAATTTAAATCTTTGACAATATGTTCAGCATAATATTACACAATGAGACCGGCAACTCCCGAAGGAATCGAAGGCAGCTCCTGTAGGAACCGAAATACAGAATCACAGATTTTGATGCCATGGTTGCCTTGGTTACATTGCTGAACCACATTTTTGAGGGGATAAAATTAAGCAGTAGCTTAATAGGATGCCAAATGGGATGAAAGTTTATGCGGTAACATGAGTGGACTTAAACCTGAAATGAAAGCCCCACCCCCCACCCCCGCAAAAAACCAGTTGGCCAATACGTGTTGATATTGTAGCGGCCGTTAGTTCGAGTCTAGATGGGTGTAAGTCTACTTTTACCTAGTAAAAGTTATTATCCTTGGGCCGAAGATAAGCAACAGCTCCCTACGCTGTAGAACTTGCATCCGAAAATATATGAACTTGGTTTGATAGTATAGGTCCAAATTCAGCTGGTTTAAACATTATTGAATCCCTGTCTCCTCTAAAGCTAGAAGATTATATCTTCCAGTTTAACCATTGTCGTTGATACTCTACTGGTATAGAGTCATCCCAGTCAAGATCAAGCCGGCATAAACCCTGTAGTATTCATTTGGCTGTTAACGTTACCGGGGAAACAAATCCGAGTGGGTCAAAGATTGACGATACCAAGGACAAGATACCTCTGCGTGTTACAGGTCTGTCCTTTAAGGTGATTGTGAAACTAAAACTGTCAGATGAAACAACCCATTTTACGCACAGAGCCCGTTCTACTGGTAGGTCCAAATTCAAATCTAACTCCCGAAATTCCTTAGCCCTTCCATCCTCTGGAATAGATTCAAAGACCTCTGTATCAGAACAGATGAACTTGGTCAACCTAAATCCACCTTTAAGGCATACACCTCGTAACCTTTGGATTAAGTCTTTAGCAATTTCTAGAGTCTTGACATAAACGTTATTACGAATAACATCTGCAACAGTTTTACCAAACTATAATTTATATTCAAAATACATAAATACCAAGTCAAAAAGCAGTCCAAGAGCGATTTTAGACTCTAGATTTTAAAAGTGTCAAGTTACAAAGGATTTTAAGAACCCTATTTTTCGTGAATTAGGCTATACAACAATCTGATTAAAACATAGATACCATTTCGTTTCTTGTTTTATAGTTCAAAATCTCGTTTTACTACATGTATGGAAGTCATCCGACGTATAAATAATGAAACGAAATATAGATCCCTATTTAAATTAGTTTGGCATCGATTTCATCTGATATTATACTACAGCAATTTATTTGATTTTATTTTTAAGGATAATGGCCACAATGATTAGATGTTACAAAAATGTTGACTGTTATATTAGTCCTGCACAAGAGAAAGCAGTGTATGACAAACTGGCTAAAAAGGGTGTACACTGTGGTACGTTTACCGTTATTATCACCATTACAATATATAATATGATAGCAGGGCCGGTGGAAGCAGTTCTTGGTTTGTGGGGGGGGGGGCGGTACTATCGGCTAAATCTATGTGTTAAGGCCAGTTCAATTTTCCCCATGGTCGCTGACACCACTAGCCCTGTTTACATCTCGTGACCTTTGGCCAAATTTGAAGTTGGCCTTAGGCAGGGGTCCAGGGGCCGCCTTAGCCCCAGAAGCTCCTTGGGGTCTAGATCGTCAGAGACGCTTTCTGGGGGATCTCCGGCTGATAAAATTACTCAGCAATGAAGTGAAGTTTTATTTTTGTGGTTTCCTGCAATACTGAACTAGACCAATATTTGCCTAATAATACCCAGGTTGAGGACATTCTAGAGGTCACAATTTTTATACGAGTTGATGAAACTGACAATGAATGTTTATAACCGAAAGATCTAAGTTTCTTTCGATATTGGCGTATATAGGTATGGAAGACCAAACAGCTCTTTATTCAGTGTTTTTAATTCTTAGTTCTTAATTCATAGTCCAATGTGATATCCAAAGGTTCATTTCGATATTGGCGCGTATTGGATCGTAACTGTCTGGATTATGACCCCTGATTGTACGAAATATCACGTTTTTAGCGTGTGAACTCTCTAGAGGTCACCATTTTTATCTTATTTTCAAAACCGTTCAAATATATCACCGTTACATAATAATTATGGTTGAGTCCGAATTTCGCGACAATCCGACACACACTTTCACTCCCCTTTACGCATATAGTATGAAAGCATGTAATGCCCAGGTTGTGGACCATCTAGAGGTCACAATTTCTATCCGATTTAGATGAAGCTTAAAAAAAATATCACTAGTTCTTGGGTGAGTTCAATTTAGGGTATTCATAATAATAAATATTGACTACTTCCATTTATTTTAGGTGGATGTATGGCGTCCTATAGTTATGTACTGATGGGTCTGTCAGCAGTGTTGATTATGATAAACAACAAGTTTTAACAGTCCAACATTCTTTGCTGAATCATGCAATATAGTTTCCTGGATCAAATAACGAACCGGGAATATTAGCGACGCATGGAGAAATTTGTATTTTATATAATATCATATCAATAAAAATTTGAAGCAAGATTCGCCTTATTATCGAAAACACCAGCACTGGCATCCTTAGACAAAAGTATTTCACAGGAATGTCAGAAGCTATAACGTATAGGATTCGTATTGAATCTTAAAACGTCTATATCTCGGCAATGAATTTGCAGATTGAACTCGGGAATATGTAATCAAATCACGTGCAATCGATCGAGAAAGTAAGGGTACCTCTTTAACAATTTAGGCTACTGTTAATTGCTATAATATTTGCATATTGTCCGAAACGTAAGACTATTCACTTGTTTCCGTTGCACGAAGCATATGTTTGTACGAATTCTTAAGACTAAAGTGTGCTATGTGCAACGGGGTACTTGTCAATATATAAATATATATATTTTTAAGATTTTATTTACTCTTGCCAGTTTAATAGGCATACCTGTTAACTTACGAGCCATTTAATGTATAATTAGTATGGTCATTGAATACTTACAATTAGTCTTGCCATTTAATACTTACGTGGACATAATTAGTCCTGCAGGCATTCAATACTTGCATAATTAGTCCTGCCATGGAATACTTGTATGATTGGGCTTGCCATGGAAGACTTGCATAATTAGTCCCTCCATTTAATGCCTACATAATTAGACTTGCATAATTAGGCTTGCCATTCAATACATATTTATTTTTTTTATATCAGAGTTTTTTTTACGCAGCATGTATCACTGAATTGACCCACAGATTTATATCAGAGATTTTTACATAGCATGTATCACTAAAACAACCTACAGATATATATCCGCTGAAAAATATTAATTATGTAGCATATATCACTGAAACGACCCACAGATCTATATCCGCTGAAAAATATTAATTATATGCAATTATATTTTTGTATTAAAATATAGTTTTCAAAATAAATAACCTTAGTTATTATTGTATTGGTCTTTTTCGTTTACTAGAAATATCCATAGTAGCATATGTTGTTCAGAAAACCACCGAAATAGCCGTTTATCTCCGGAATCAATATCAAGTGCAGAAAATTGTTGGCAGGTAACGAAATAGGGTCACAGCATCCAAGAGAGATCTAATGTAAGTCATAGGAGAAATACCCTACCTTGTACAGTTGTCCAATGCAATATTGTCGCCAGCCTAAGAATTGCTCTAAAGAATTCAATATTGACGCAAACTAGAAATTTAATCTAAAGTTCGTGATAAAAGATATGAGTTTAATTTTCCACTTACTTATTAGTTGCCATATACAATGATATACCCCAAACTCCTGCTTGTGTGGTATACATCCAAAATTTTACCGATAAGCTAGAGCTTATAGACTAAATGTTGCCTTCCTGAATACTGGTAATTATTAACGGTAACAAAGATTTTAACACAATATTAACTTATATGTGCATTCGACAAATGTTATGGTAGCTGTCTTTTTGGTTAGCACCTAACGTCTGGTGATTCATTTGGCCTGTTTATATGATTTTATAGCTGTGGTCGGAATGCTTACCACATTAGCTGATTTCCGTAGTTTAAGTATAAAGGCGACATATCAATACCTCCTAATAGAACCTAATCCCGGGTTAAATATACTATTCAAAAAAAGTAGGGGATATTTGATTTTGGGGGCATAATACTAAAATATGCAAATGACTACGAAAAAAGTCGCTATAGAACCTAACAGAAGAAACATTTCCAGTTACATGTGACGCCCAAACGCACCAATAGCTACCGCATGGAATGCAGGTGATGCTTGGGATCATCATGGGGGTCCAACCCAAGTTTTGCACGACTCTGACTTTGAATGTTACAGTCATTGTGGCATTGAATTCCAGGGTGGAAACATCAGTTTAATTGTTTTAGTGACCAGAAAACAAATTTTGATATGCGTCGGCTTACCCAAAATGAAAGGTTACGTGCCCTTGGCATGCTACAGATCGGCACAACACAGGCGGTTGTGGCGCGGACGATGAATGTTTCTCAGTCTGTCATAAGCAGGCTATGGTCCAGATACCGTGATACACAATCTGTACAGGACAGACCACGCTCAGGTCGACCAAGGGCGACAACTCAAGCCCAGGATCGATTTATCCGTACCTTGGCCTTGAGAAATCGTGTCATCACAGCAAATCAGATCAGCGCTCGTCTTCAAACAGACACTGGTGTGAGAGTGAGTGGCCAGACGATTCGGAATCGACTGCATAGGGGTCACCTTCGCGCCCGACGTCCTCGCGTGATCCCTTGTTTGAGAGATCATCACATTCAGGCAAGACGTCGTTGGTGTAGGGATCGTCAACACTGGGATAATCGACGCTGGAGGAATGTGATGTTTTCAGATGAGTCAAGGTTCACTGTTGATTTTTTGGACAGACGTAAGAGGGTGTGGCGTCGTCGAAACGAGCGCTTCCAAGACATTAACGTCATCAGACATGATCGATTTGGGGGTGGTTCTGTTATGGTGTGGGGAGGCATCACTGTTGCTGGAAGAACGGCTCTACATGTTGTTGCAGGGCGTGTTACAGGCCAGTACTACCGGGACAACATCTTGGCAGTCCATGTTGTGCCGTTCGCACGACGTCATGGCCGCCGTTTCATCTTCCAGGATGACAACGCAAGATGTCACAGGGCCAGGATCGTTACAGGTTACCTCCAACAACAGAACATCACCACATTACCTTGGCCAGCACTGAGTCCCGACCTCTCCCCCATCGAGCATGTCTGGGACATGCTTGGACAGAGGTTACGTCAACGTCAACAACGTCCTGCCAATGTCCAAGAACTTGCTGCTGCGTTGCAACAGGAATGGGACAATCTGGACCCAAATGACCTTAGACGTCTCATTAGGAGTATGCCACGTCGGATCAATGCTTGTTTGGCAAACAGAGGAGGATTTACCCGTTACTGACTTGGTTGTGATGCTGTGGTAACTTTGCTGTTTTACCCCGGGTATCATTTTACCCTTATAATGGTCAGTCTGTGCCTTACTTAGTCTAACGATCATTTGGAATAAATCGATGAATGTGAACTTCATTTCATTTTGTCATTTGTTTCTTCGTCAGTTTCATTAGGTGACTTTAATAACACTTAAAAATCAAATATCCCCTACTTTTTTTGAATAGTATATATAAACAGCGGAATCAGCCAGAGTGAACAAGTCCCGTGCACTGCATCCATTAAAAGTGTGTTATGTAAGAGCTAAATCTGCCTATTCAGGGGCGGATCCAGAGGGGGGTGACCCCCTCCCCCCCCCCCCCCCCTGCTCGGCTACATAAATTTTTTGGTAAATCAACACTTTTTATGAGAAAGGTTTCTCGGCCGTGTGCTTTATCCTTTATCGTCAGATTTGGGACAGGATGGGCACTCAAAAGCACGAGATAATGATATAGACATTATGTGATATCACAATTAATACTTTGCATCCATGAAATTGAATCACAAAGTCATTGTATTAATTCATAATTTCTCTGTTTAAAAAGCTCAATGTGTATGTATATACGCTAAAATGACGATAGAGACCAAGCGGGAGGGGGGGGGGAGATACATTGTCTCAGGAACATGACCCCCCGCCCCTGCAAAAATTCCTGGATCCGCCCCTGCTATTGCAAGTCTTTAATTTGGCTTCAAATGTTATAAAAAAAATATTATTTAGACATTTAGTAACATGACAAGCTTATAATCAACTATCTATGCCATCGGAAGGAGCGAGATTTAAATGAATTTGAACACCCCCGAGATTTAAAGATTTAACGATAAAATGGATAATTTACTGTTCCTACTATATGATATACGTCAATATTTAAATATATTCATTTTTCATTATCTGTTTTGGACTTCTATAGCAAGAACGGTCAGCTCTTAATCTAACTCTTACATAATGTATCTTTAATCATTATTACCCCCCCCCCCCCCCACACACACACACACACACACATACACACCCACACACATATGTATTGTGCCCCAACCACAATACATTTGGATTCAGACCCTTCTTTGAATCTTAATGTTAGCAAGGTTTGTTAGTTATTCAAAGAATTCTTGTCCTTGGCATTGTGCAAATATATCAATAATAATCTTTAAGTAGCATTTAGTGATTGGGGTACACAATAACAGAACACAATTTTTATGGGAAACAATCACTGGTTTTATTCTAAAAGCACGACGTTTCGACAAGTATCCTCCTATCGTTATCAAGCACAATAAATAAATAAGATAGCCTACGAACCGGTTTTCAGGTGAGTTAGAATTCAAATGTAATTTTGTAAGTTATTTGACGAATTATGTCAAATCAAGTTTGTTAACTTCGGTGGACAAGATTTATCAAGAACTGCATAGTTCTTTGCCTTTTCCGGGGTTGGCAGGTATACTGTAACCTAGTCGTGTTTTGTCCGTGTACACATTGGCGGTCACGTTAATTGGAATTAACGTTTTTAATGGCTGAACAATTACATCTTTTTTCTTTATAATGGATTAAAGGCGTTATTGGTAGGGGCAATCAGTCTGTGAAAATTGATGCCGATTTGCAAAGAAGAACCAGGAAGACAAAACTTAAGTTTCAATCATGTTTGACTCTTATGATAAATTTTGCGTGACCAAATCTTTTACTCGGGGAAATTAGAACCACAATACACTTCTGACGGAAATGTATCTCGAATCGTTTGGACTGCACACGATGGTAGAAGGACTCTTTTATCAAAAAGTCACTTTGAAACACAGTTATAAAATCGCTGTCGTGAGAAGAGAGGGCGAGACATTATGAAACAATGCTAAATTGGATCTTAGATTACAAAACAAATTATTCAGTAGTCAATTGTTTTATTTAATTATGGGATTAAGGGAGGGAACCAAGCTGATTGGGACCATGGCTGATTGGGACCATGGCTGATTGGGCCAAAAGTCAAAGTTGATTGGGACCACATTCCAGGCTGATTGGGACCACATTCCAGGCTGATTGGGACCACCACTGGGCAGATTCGGACCACACGATAAAAAATACTAGAAACTGAGGTTTTGATATTGAATTAAGTTTAAAGGAGTTTTATCTAGGCTATAACGTGACTATAATTATGTGCTTTTATGTAGGCCTACGTTATTTATGTTTATATTCCATTTTTTTATGTCACAGTTACTATATTAACAGAGATTATCTCATTAATCTTGTGTCAATTATCATACGTTTTATGCAATTTAAACAGACCATTTTTATTTTATTTTATAAACTTCATAGCTTGTTTCGGGATCCATTATAGCCTATATATTGTGTGTAATTATACGTAGATATACTGTTTAAACCAATTTATGCTAATTTCAATAAGTCATACAAATTTGAAAACTATAATACTAGCAATACAGTAGCATAACGGAAATCCGAATCCATTATACATATATTGGGAGTAATTATGTTATAGAAATAATGTTTAAACCATACAAATTTGAAAATTAATACCAGCAATACAGTAGCAACGGTAATCGCTTATTTCAAATATGATGTTTGTAAAAGCAGTCAAAATGTTAATCCTACCTTGTAAAGAAAAAATCATAATAGATTTATAGACTCAATTTTAACACAGGTAAACAGGTAGGTGATATCTAGGAAAGTGTACTATATTGCTACATGAAAATTACTCAGATCTTACTGACAGCCACAACAGGGAATTTGTGTGATTGGATCTGATTGTTTATTGGATTACTAGGCTTGTCATTAATTAACTATAAATGGTGTGATTAAGGTCGTGTATATTGCTACCAGAGTTTTATACTATAAAGTGTGATTTAATTAACTTTGTTTAATGTGTATTACTAAGAAACTTTTACACGTTTGTCAACCAATTTAGTGTATTGCATTCAACACTTGTCTAGATCAGGAAGGTCCTACTAAATAATAAAATATTGGTTTGTAAAGGAATTGAATCGCCACCAAATGTCTCGTTATATGAAATAAAATGATATTTACTAATTAGAATATTATACAAAGTAGGCCTACAATTTGTCTGTCATTTTTTTCAACTTTATCATTACAAAATATCGCATTCGTTGCAGTAATTATACTTATATGAGGCTATTTGATATTGGGTTACAATTTGATAATACTGGGTAGTATTTATTGTCATGCAAACATAATTAAAACACTCTCGTCATTGGTCTGATCATGGTCCGAATCAGCCAAGAATCTGGTCCCAATCAGCCAAGAATGTGAAGCATCTTCTCTGTGATTTAGCTCATTTGTATTGAAGCTGTCATTTACTAATTACACTATTATTTGTGACTAATTACACTATTTATTGTCATAGTTGTCTTATTATCAAAAATATGCAAACATATTTTAAATACTCGCGTCATTTAAGTAATGGTCCGAATGAGCCTTGTCGTGGTCCCAATCAGCCAAACATCTGGTCCCAGTCAGCCAAGAATCTGGTCCCAGTCAGCCAAGAATCTGGTCCCAATCAGCCACAAATCTGGTCCCAGTCAGCCAGGTCCCAATCAGCCATGGTCCCAATCAGCCAATTACCTAAGGGATCAGTCAGGCACTTTTTGCGACTTTAAGTGAAGATTGCCGAATTAATTTTAATCAGATTGGTGTAAATTTGCCGTAAAGTGGATATAGTAACCATTGGCTATACGTACCGAAAAGACAAAAGTAATGTCGTCCATCTTATGTGCACTTTAATTTTGCCTTTTGTATGAACAGTACACCCATCCCTCCTCTGTGAACAATATTAGGGGTTCTTCACTTGGTAATCTTTCATCACACACCTATTATTAAAAGCACATAATCATGGTTTGAATCATATTAGCATGACTCATGATAAAATATAACTATATATGGTTGGTTTTATATTCAATATAGAAAGTTACTTTATTATTCATTGTATACACAAAAATATAAAACATGCACTATACTGTCACAATATGACTCTTCATTCTGAATTAAAAACATACCCTATACTATTATAATATCATTCTGATGAAAACATGCACATTGTATAATAATAAGTCTTAGCAAAAAACCTGGTTTGAGCACAACTTTATTTATCCTAAGACTAGTTTTAATTTGAGCAAATCTTTAGTCATACACCAGGTTCTGGCAGTTCAAAATACTTATTTGCATTTTATTCTGTGTCCTAGCAACAAGTAATTTGAAAACATGAGTAAAACTTGAGAATACAGAAATTTTATGGCCCAGTTTCAGTTTACCTAATAGATACTAATGTCCAAAAGAAAGTATACACTGTGCATTTCGTGCTGCATCAACCAAAGTCGTTTTTCATCGTATGCAGCATTTGGGTACAATGTCAATTTGTTTCGCTTTTTATTTTGCTTAGAAATGTTGAGTTCTAACGCAAGAGACAAACTCAGTAATGTTTTATCAAATGTTTTTAATCTAAATAAAACTTAGTCATATTTTTAGTATATATACTTTCTTTTGGACATTAGTATAGTATATTTTTCTGTATCCTATCAACAAGTAATTTAAAAACATGCATAAAAGTTTTATGGCCCAGTTTCAGTTTACCTAATATAGTATATTTATATACATTGGATTTACATCATCCATATATGAAGCACATACCTATACAACCCTACACAACTGACACAAACAAAAATAATGTCAACTTTAGAAGACACTTAGAGAAAAACTTAATGTCTGTCTGATCTTTTATGGATGACATATATTTGTAATTTTAAAATATACATATTTATGGAAAATCTTATATGAAGATTTTAAATTAAAGAGAGAGAGAGAAATGGGGTTTAACATCCACTCAACACAAACTAGGTCATTTCGGGACTAACAAATGGTTTAATTTTATTTCAATAATTCGCTTGCGCGTAGGGGTCTTTAAGCAGAGGGAGGAAACCGGAGGACCCGGAGAAAACCCACGAGGTTGGACAGGCGACCCTACTCCTTGTCACGTACAACCGGGGATTCGAAACCACGCCTGTCGACTCAATGACAGACTTTATGATACAGCGCGCGCACGCTAACCATTCAGCCATCCACCCCCCGATTTTAAATTAAGAAAATAAAAATACTTAAAAGCCGACTCAAGCTAAGCTACCGAAAGAGCAGTGTGTATTGTTCATAGGGTCATAGGTCAATCATAACAAAAACAAACATTCCCAGATAAAGTAATAATTGCTTGGGTCTAGTCATATTTCTAAAGCAATGGTTACAAGCAGGAATAGACTGTTAACCTCTGTTGCACCGACTATGGTCCTGTCTTCATTAGCCCAGTTCGGAGCAGAATAGTAGGACATTAAACCCCATTTCATTTCATTTCCGACTATGGTCCCGTGGCATTGCTAGTATTTTTTGTACCATCAACATGACTAGACACTGATCCTTGCCAAGCGAACCACCCTGCACTACTGACAAGGGAAACCCAAAATGAAAATGGGACATCCTTGTTAGTGTGCCAGAGGCATACACAGCAAGTCACTGTGGCTCCGCTGTCAAGAGAACATTTCAATCTTTGTTAACTAGTTTTACCAAATTCTGCTCCTCAGATCAAACACAAACATTAAATGTACAAATAAAAAAATCAAATTTGCTGAGATTTCTGAATTGATGGATAACAAATTTATATTTGTGTAATATAGCATAGGATTAGGTTAATTACAATTTGGAGGGACAGAGAGGTATAAAAAAATATTTGGGTTGCTTCTCATTTAAATATTAAACTGGTTTTTTATAATTCTGTGTGTGAAGAAAGTCTGGGTCCCCTTTTTATCTTTTTCTTCTCTTTTTTCTTTAATTTTTTTATTTCAGCTTCATTCAATTCCATCATCATTTCTTTCTGTTAAAATAAATAAAAAAAATTGGTAAGGAGTAATTGGAACATGTCATTGTGAATTGCCATTGTGAACAAATAAAATTATAGAATTTACAAGAAATGATGCCAACTTAAATAGTAACAAGCCAACAGTGAGGCTGATGTCTCCCGCCGAAATCCCCAAATAAATAGATGACACATATTAATTAATCGCACATCTATTTTTTTCCAAAGTATCAAGCAATCAAACTGATTATCAACTATACACTAAGTTTCATCACTCTCTATCAGATAGAATCAAAGTTATCTTGTCCCAAAGCAGGAAATTGCTTATCTCTGCTTAGCTTTAGCTCGATATGTTAATCATTGAACTCAGTCAAGAGGAACATCTACATCAAGTTTAAACATTCTACCTCAATTAGAAGAAGAGTTGTTGAACTCAGTCAAGACGAACATCTACATCATGTTTAAACATTCTACCTCAATTAGAAGAAGAGTTGTTGAACTCAGTCAAGACGAACATCTACATCAAGTTTAAACATTCTACCTCAATTGGAAGAAGAGTTTGACCAATCAAAATGCTTATTGCTCGTTAGCCTAAGCAGAAAATTCTCATCATCAAACTTAGTCAAGGTATTGATGTAATGAAACTATACACCAAGTTTCATCACTCTCACTTAATTAGAACTAAAGTTATCGTGTTCCAAAGCATCAACCAATCAAATTGCTTATCTTTGCTTACCCTAAGCAGAAAATGCTGATCTTCGCACTCCATCAAGGCATTGACCTCATAAACCCCTACACCAAGTTTGAACATTCTAGCTCAATTAGAAGGAGGGTTATTGTGTTCGAAAGTCTCGGCCAATCAAATTGCTTATCGCTCTTCTTACCCTGAGCAGAAAATGCTCATCATCGAACTTAGTCAAGGTATTGATGTAATGAAACTATACACCAAGTTTCATCACTCTCACTTAATTGGAACTAAAGTTATCGTGTCCCAAAGCATCAACCAATCAAATTGCTTATCTCTGCTTACCCTGAGCCAAAAATGTTCATCTTCGAACTCCATCAAGGCATTGACCTAATAAACACCTACACCAAATTTGAACATTCTAGGTCAATTAGAAGGAGAGTTATTGTGTTCCAAAGTCTCGGCCAATCAAATTGCTTATCGCTCTGCTTACCCTGAGCAGAAAATGCTCATTATCGAACTTAGTCAAGGTATTGATGTAATGAAACTATACACCAAGTTTCATCTCTCTCACTTAATTAGAACTAAAGTTATCGTGTTCCAAAGCATCAACCATTCAAATTGCTTATCTCTGCTTACCCTAAGCCGAAAATGCTCATCTTCGAACTCCATCAAGGCATTGACCTAATAAACACCTACACCAAGTTTGAACATTCTAGGTCAATTAGAAGGAGAGTTATTGTGTCCCAAAAAGTGTGACGGACGGACGGACGGGGACAAAAAATATAAAGCAGGGGCAATAGCTAAATAATTGAACACTCAAGCAAGGTGAGAAAAAAATCCGATCTGCTCTGGACTGAGGCCACAATTGCCACAATTTACTCCGAAATAAAATGTAAAACTATAAAAATAAATTTATCTGTGCTTATTAATTAAAAAGAAAAGATATTTTGTAGCAGACCTACCTCCCGCTGTGTTTCAGCACTATATGGATTTATAAAATTATTATCTTTTGGTAAAATATTGACTTCCTGTGCCATCTATAAATACAAAGAAAGAGGGATAGAAATGGATACATTCGACACAAGTTAGGTTCAATAATTCGCATGCATGTAAGTTGGACAGACGACCCTAATCCTTGTTGAATTGAAACCAAGCAGAGAGAAATGGGGTTTAAAGTCTACTTGACACAACTAGGTCATTTCGGGATTAACATATGGTTCAATTTTATTTCAAAAATTTGCTTGCGTGCAGGGGCCTTTAGCAGTGGGAGGAAACCCGAGGATCCGGAGAAAAACCCACGAGGTTGCCTCGGCGACACTACTTCTTGTCACGTACAAGCAGGGATTCGAAACCATGCCACTTGACTCAATGACAGACCCAATGGTCTAAAGCGCACCCATTTAACTATTACATATGTTCAGTTAGGAGTTTAGTCGAATTGTTTAAAGAATCCTGGCTGAGGAATAAACATTTGTGGCCTACACCATTTCAACTTTCAAGTTAATCAAATGTCATGACTTCATACCTTGCCTCGCTCCGCTGGGCAAGTATGACCATACTAATATAAATCGAGAACCTCAGATTCATTACATCATTGGTGCCAGATGTCATAGGTGGTATCTTGGACTTTTGACGTTAAGCTTTATGTCGACCATACTCAAATTGGTGAAGCCTTATTATGGTCTTTTTTTAAAAACTGTTGCAATAAGAACAACAACACAATTACCATATGAATGAAACCAGTTCTTGGTTTAAAAACAAATATGAAGTTTCCTCAAGCAAACACAACAAAAACTGAAATAATCAGATTTTATCTAGCTTTCAGAGCTAGAGTGCATTCCATATTAAAATGGGATATTGCCTTAAAATAACTGAATGAAAATTACCAGATTTAGCAGTTTACTGTTAGCACCTTCAAATATTCTTGATTCATTACAGAAGCCTGTCCCCCATGTTAAAGCCATTTGCCATTCTCTTTGTCGGTCATATAATTCATGTACAATATCAGGCATTCTCAATACAAGATCTCCAAATAAGGCAGTATTCTCAAAGATTTTAGACACAGCTGAAATGATTACAACAAGAGAATATAAGTATTGATGGTATTATAATGCACAGATGACTAATAAATAAGGCAATATTCTCAAAGATTTTAGACACAGCTGAAATGATTACAACAAGAGAATATAAGTATTTATGGTATTATAATTCACAGATAAGGCAGTAGCATGTATTAGCCACATTAGGGAGGCATGGTGCTGCGGTGGGTATGTTACAGACCCACCCACTAACCAGGGCGTAGGGTTTGATCCCCGTGTTGAATGACAAAGTTCGGACTTTGGATCTGTCCAAGGGTGTACTGGTATATCACTTTCTATAATTTTCTTCTGGGAACTGGGGTAGTCAATATTACTACCAAGTGCTAAAGGGTTAAATATAATTAATGATATTTCTTTCTAATATATATCCCTAGAAAGGGAAGAGAAATTCATTACTGCTATAGGACTCACAGTGTTGCATTGTTTCATTTTCAGGAAATGGATCTCCTGGTAAAAATTTCCATTCTGTCACATTAGTCTTTGCTTCATTTAATACCTGCAGGATCAAATTTTAAGGAAATTATGTACATAATGATACAAGAGCAATTTCAGGTCTGGACATATAATAAGTCATAGTAAATATTTCATATCACTGTATAATCCTTGCCAAGGTAGCAGCTTAACTTTACTAAGAAACAATCCTGGATAAATCATCAAACAATGTAAAGACAAGCCTGGATATTAAAACAACTGTCAAACACTTTGTCAGGCACAAATTATAGCAAAGCATTTATATTATAATACCAGCAGGATACCCAGCTTCGTGCAGGGTCCAAATTCGCACAGGGTCAAAATTCGCCATAGGCCCAACTTGCCCAGGCCCAATTTGTCCAGCAAATTTGCCTGGGAACAAAATTTGATGGCCTAAAACATTGACAGGGTCATGCTGGTTAATTTGATATCACATTTATGTGTGGGGGGGGGGGAGTGGGGTGACGAAGAGTGTTTCGCCTGGGGCCCAAATTTGATGGCGTAAAACATTTACAGGGTTATGCTGGTTAATTTGATACCACATATGAGGGGGTGGATCGTTGTGACAAAGCGTGGTGGCCGGGTGAACACGTACATGTACAGACATCTTTGATTTTATTTATATAGATAGGAATATGTTGTGATAATTTATGTCTGACAATATGTCTGTGACAGGTGCCTTATGTCCTGGCTTATAGAAGGCAGAATTCCAATGCAGGTTCTTTAAAATCAGAAAATTATAAACCGACATATAATGATCAGCAACTTACAGCAAAAAGTTGTTTTAACATGATTTCAACCAGTTTGTATTTTTGTTCATAACTTCCAAATGATGTTATTGTCTTCACAGCATTTAACTGGGTACCTCGATGTTCCTGAAATAATTTTTTATCTGAGAAATTGTCAAAGATATTAAAATACTAATTTGAAATCTATATAGTCATTCCTGATTCATAATGTCGTTCGAGGTACATACATGACAGCTCGGAACGGAAGATACCGCAATATAATTTAATTTTTTCACAGTAACAGAAATTTAAGCTGATAGAATTTCATTCCGACATGCTTTTTCGCAGTTAGCATTGGTTAAAAAGATACATTTTTCTTCAGCAGATATTTTTCCTTCAAGTTTTTCATCTTGTATTTTTGAATTTTCATCAGGCATTGGTGGTGAATCGGATTTAATTTGAACTGTCAACAAAGACACAAAAATAAACAACAAAAGTAAACAACAATAACACAGTTTCTCCATCTCTCAACACTAAATAAAGTTTATTTTGTAGACCATTAATCTTTTGCGATAAAATAAAAGCGTTCAAATCGTAAAGTTATCAAAATTTCAGAAAACTCTTTCCCATCTTTATTATCATTTCTTCACATGTTTACACGTGTGATAAACATTGGGGTATTCCATTTCCGGAGATAATTTTAGTAACGGAAGTAGCGTAATAGGGGTTTCCTACATTAGCAGACATGGCCGACGTGGACTTTCTTTCAAAGCAGGTAACCAATAAATTGTTTATTTGTCATATTTTGATTTATAAATTTGACAAATTTGAAGGTTAATTGGATAGTACAAGTTTGGATGTATGTCCAATCTATTTGAAAGGAGGTGGGAGTTTAGTTCAGCTCTGAACGTAGGTCGCATTACACTCGCCCTGTACGTTCACTTCAGGGACCGTGTTGTTGAATCCTTGGCGAAAAAGTTTGGCTTCCCAGTCAATTTTACTGGGCAACTTTTTACTGCTAAACGGTCGAGTGTCAGTCCCTGTGAACGCCTGACAAATGTAACTGAACATCTTAGTGAGAAAATGAGACCTTGCTTACCTCACTAGAACCAGTATGAGCGACACAACACGCTGTTACAGTGTTAATAAATACCTCTCTGTCTTCTAACCGATTTGGCCGACTTCATTGAAAGGGTAACGCACAAATTTACAAACTCGGGCATATAAGATGAAACGAAATTTAGGTGAGCCTGGTGGCAAAAAATTGGGAATTTTGAAAAAAATTTATTGTAAATTATTGTAATTGGGCTAGGCAAAGCAATAAATGACTGAAGTTTCTTAGCCGATTAAAGATTTTGTTTAGCAGTAAAAAGTTGCCCAGTAAAACTGGGAATCCAAACTTTTTTGCCAAAGCTTCACTAACACGGTCCCTGAACGTACAGGGCGAGTGTAATGAGATGAGACCTACGTTCAGAGCTGAACTAGTGGGAGTTAAGAGATCAAAGTCGATTCCAGATTTCTTTTAATCTGATCTACTACCAGAACGTTGAGATACTGATCTGATGTGCATGTTTTTAGCTACGATTGGGTGCCTTTAGTTCAAAGTGACAAACTCAATTTCTTTATTAATGCATGTAACATCGTAAAAATAAGATAATTTTATACTATACTATTATGACTAATTAAACTTACAGAGGCCACAACTATCGCCTAACTCCAAATATTTGCGTTTAAATTAATGAAGCGTTGTTTTTATCTGACATACACCGTCATAGATCTCCTGTTTAAAAATGACGTTCCCAGTAACAACTTAACGCCTTGATTTTAAATATGATGATTTATACCTGTTTCAGGTAGGATTATATGCTTAATTTTAGTTGGATGTGGCAGAAATATTATAAATGACAATAATCAATCGTTGTTTTGATGAAAAATATTGTCAATTTTGCTTACTGAGACCCGATGTGATTTGCGTTTGGCTTTGCTACGTGGAAGTATATAGCACCATCTCTTATCTCGAAACACGGAGGGTTGAGAGATGAGGTTTGTTATCTACTGAGCCTATATTCGATATCCTAATCCTATATTTACAAGTCGTACGTAGACAACTACATGACATGTACACAGTGCCGTTTCACTTTTAGACAAAATAAGTATTCAAGAAATGAAAGCGGGCAGTTGATAAATTCTAAACATCTTAGAATCATCCGTCACTTTTTGAACAACAATAAAACTTGTTCACTGACAAACAAAAACACATGTCTAGTAGTACTAGTAAAACATTTATTGTTGTTTATTAATTGACCGATATCATGTTTGTAGTGTGACCAATATACTACGTCATATCCTTTCATTAAAATTAAAGGCCCAAACTTTCAACAGAAACAACTTCCAGTTCTATTGTTGTGGTTTTCGAACACTAATCTTGTACGAGGCATGAATTTTCAATAAGCTTATTAAAATATTGTTATAAAATAGCACAGAAATACCTAATTTTCTTAATTTTTCAGTAAGCATGTTTACTAATCTCTAGCTTTTATCCCACAAGACCGTAATATCATTGTATACATTTTCTAATGCATTTTTCTCCTGACATGTTAAAGTTGAGGATTTAGGCCTACATAATTTATCTCTACAGTTGGTTAGCTTCGAGGAGCAGTACTATAATAATCTCTTTTACACCACATGTTTTGTTCTAGAAAATTCTTATGACACAGACATATGTGGGTGCTCAAATAGAGAATGACTAACAATGGACCACTTCTCGTCATTGATAAGATTCCCACATAATAATTAACTTTTATTGTTCTACTATCAAACATTCACCATTCATTATCAACACAACACTCTGTATAATCCATTGTTGACAACTACATGTATGTATACAACTCTATAACACCAATTATCAGATTATGTGGCTTCTATACCTGGGCAGTATTCTGTACGGTCCAAAGAATTTCATAGATCATAGCCATGTTTGAAAATTGAGTTTTGAAATGTATGCCATTTATCCGGCGTGCAAAAAGATAGTCCTCAGTCATGACCGGCATGTATTTGTCCAAGTCCGACATAGAACCCATAGTTTATTTATCTAGTCAGCTTGACTTAATTGTGTAAGGAAAAAGTAGTTACAAGACAACTGTATGAATCAACAATGTATGGTAGTCCTAATTTTCTCTGATTTGTTGTAGGATGATTCCGACTTGTCCCTTGAAGGGGAGATTACTGTTCCAGGTGTTTCTAAAAGTGATGATGAGTTATCTACCCTTGATGAACCAGTTAAAGATACTGTGGTAGGTAAACATTAACAATGTTAAATGTTTTCTTATAATATAAGTTATATAAGCATACATACCCCGGTTATGAATGACATCCACAACAGTTTAGAAACTATTTTCAAAGAATTTCAACTAATGAAAAAAATTACAAAAACGACATGTCTAGTCTTTTTATACGCCCACATTGTTATACGCCCACATCATTGAAATGTGTTCGTATATTGTCGTCACTCCCGTCCGTCCATCGGTCCGGCGTCCACAATTGCTTGTGGACGCTCTAGAGGCTAAAGTTAATATCCGATTGACTTTAAATTTATACACAGTGTTTAAGGTCATGAGACGAAGAAGCCTATTGATTTTCAGCGATTTCCGATAATTACTGCCAGAGTTATGGCCTTTGATCACTTCAAAAAAAATCTTGTGGACGCTCTAGAGGCCAAAGTTAATATCCGATTGACTTTAAATTTATACACAGTGTTTATGGTCATAAGTCGAAGAAGCCTATTGATTTTCAGCAATTTCCGATAGTTACTGCCAGAGTTATGGCCCTTGATCACTTCAAAAAATCTTGTGGATGCTCTAGAGGTTAAAGTTAATATCAGATTGACTTTAAATTTATACACAGTGTTTGAGGTCATGTGATAAAGAATCCTATTGATTTTCAACGATTTCCGATAATTACTGCCAAAATTATGGCCCTTGATCACTTTGAAAAATCTTGTGATGCTCTAGAGGCTAAAGTTATCATCCGATTGACTTCAGATTGATAATTTCTTCATGAGTTGTTACTCTTAATCAGATTTTAGTGTATTATAAATGTTTTATTACCCAAAAAACTAAAAATATGCGACAACACTTGTTGACTGCCCGGATGATTTAGCTGCTGTGGGCGTATGTTTCGTTGCCTGGCAACCTATCTTTAATGGGACGTAAAACATGCATGTAGATTCTGTAGGTTGGCTGTACGTAAAATATCTCTGATTTAGCAGTTGGAATTGATGAATAAAATGGTTGAAATGGGCAAAGTCCTCTCATATTGCACAAAAAATCTATAGCAATAAATATTATGTACAGTATATGTTACTCTTAACTTCACCAAAATATAATTCTGGTTTATCTACTTGTGTATATGCTTTATAACGACTTGTTAAGTCTTGTTGAAATGTCACTGTGTAATAAACCATAATAACTGTTATTCCATAAATAGTGTTTTATTTATGTCCCAATTACTAAAAAAATGTTAAATAAATAATAGACCAAATATAATATTGACAAGTTCTAACATTCCACTCCGTTGACACTTATTGATTAATGTATTATTACTGTTTTATAGATGAGAGATTTACGAGCTATTGGAACTAAGTTTTTTCATGTTTTATATCCTAAAACGAGTAAAACTCTATTAAAAGAATGTAAGTATATATGAACTGGTTATTTTGCTACAAACTCTAAATGAAATAACCCTCCATCCGTTCAGTTTATAATGCATTGTGTGTTGGGGAGGGGGGAAGAAGGGGGTTTATTGTTAATCTGGAACATTCAGAATTGACAGAATTGCAATCAATTGTCGTGGTATTGGGTCTGTAACAGTTCTGCTAGTCCTGAATATAGACGTATGACCAGAATCGTGACGTAATCAAAGATTTCAGCCATGATATACACTTTGCGTCTGCCTTGTCACCTGAAATTTTCATGTTTACTCATCATACTTGATCGACACCTTTCTAGGATAGAATCAGATTCTGGACTGTTCTATCCCCAGACTGAAGCTATGTTTACTGGTATCCATCTAGCAAATTGAACTCTTGTTTGTTTTTACTGTTAGACTGGAACTCATATATATATATATTTGTTTTAATTGTTATTTTTGAAAAATCTGACTGTAATTTACAGAAAAACTGATATTTCAATTTCTTGTTTGTTTGTCATTTCAGGGGATTTGTGGGGTCCACTTATTCTCTGTGTGTACATGGCTATGTAAGTTAAAAGAATTTGAAAAAATTCTTGATTATATTCCATTTCTCTTTGTTCAACCCTGTTGTAGAGCCCAGTGCTGGGAGAATATCTATCATTTATATTTTTGGGGTTTTTGTTAACGAAATTTTAAAATAATTTCAGTATATATTTTAACGTTGAATAAGCCATGAAATTAATTAAATTATCTGTTTAGATGTTCCTGATTTTAAATTAGTCAGTAAATGCTGTTGTTTTTAACATGTTGAGGGCCTTGAAACTCATCTCTTTCCCACACATGAAAGAAGACCCTGTGTTGATTATTTTCTATGATTAATAACCGTGCTTTTATATTTTGCAGGATGTTACAGAGTGGCACTTCTGGTCAACCACAATTTGCTGAAGTATTTGTTATATATTGGATTGGAGCTGTTATTGTTACTCTTAATACTAAATTACTGGGTGGAAACATGTAAGCAACCATCTTTTCAACAAATCTAATGTATAGAATTAGAAATTGGAGAATGTTGTTGCTAGTAAATGTCTACTGAGTAAAGATTTAATTGCAGACACTAAATTGTTTCTCCTAATACTAGAGGTGAAAGGTGTATGTCTAGCTGTGGGATATCTATCATTTATTGCAAGGAGATGTTGTGCCCACAAATGTGGCTTAAAATAAATGTGAATTATCTCCCTTAAGCACCAATTTTCTCTTAAAATATTTAGACGATGTTTTTAAATTTTCCAATGCAGTGATATTTTGTGATAATTTAGACATGGCAGAATATCAGAAATTACAAAATAAAACATCAGAGAACATATTTTTAATTTTAAATAAAAGTTAATTTTTCAGAAAGGGGGAGATAACCCTTTTTCAGGGATAAGACCACTAATTAATTCCCATTGACTACCTTTGGTCATTCGAAGATCTAAATATTGATAATCACAAGAAACCAAACAAAGCACAATCATATGATGAAATTATTGAGGCGGTTTCATCGCCTACATTTTTCTACATCCGGTTAGTAGAAACTAGAGGCTGTGATATTATTTTTGTTCATGATTTCCCATGAAAACCTGACATAAATTCAAACACCATTTTTATACGCCCACATTTTCATGTGGACGTATTATGCCGTCGCCCCTGTCCGTCCGGACGTCTGTCTGTCTGTCTGGTCACAATTCTTATCCGATTTTGACGAAACTTGAAATATAGGTTTAACCCCAAAAGATCTCGGCTGCTTTCGATATTGGCATGTATCGGATCGAAACTTCATGGATTATGGATTGTACGAAAAATCACGTTTTTAGCTTGTGGACGCTATAGAGGTCACAACTTTTATCCGATTTTTTTGAAACTTGAAATGTAAGTTTATAACCCAAAGATCTTGGTTCCTTTCGATATTCGCACATATCGGACCGTAACTTCCTGAATTATGGCCCTGATTGTACGAAAAATCGCGTTTTTAGCTTGTGAACCCTATAGAGGTCATAATTTTTATCCGATTTTTTTGAAACTTGAAATGTAAGTTTATAACCCAAAGATCTTGGTTCCTTTCGATATTCGCGCATATCAGACCGTAACTTCCTGAATTATGGCCCCTGATTGTACGAAAAATCGCGTTTTTAGCTTGTGGACTCTATAGAGGTCATAATTTTTATCCGATTTAAAAAAACGTATTATTATTTCACCATTACACCCTAAGGACGGCTGGGTTCGAATTTCGTGAAAATCGGCCCAAAATTGACAGACAAAATGGCCGTCGTTCGTTCTCAAATAGCGTAAAAATATGGTATATCAAGGTTGTGGACCCTATAGAGGTCACAATTTTTATCCGATTTTGTTGAAAATTCAAATGTAAGTTTATAACACAAAGATCTCGGTTCCTGTTGATATTTGCGCATATCGGACCGTAACTTACTGAATTATGGCCCCTGATTGTACGAAAATACGCGTTTTTAGCTTGTGGACCCTATAGAGGTCATAATTTTTATCCGATTTAAAAAAACGTATTATTATATCACCGTTACACCCTAAGGACGGTTGAGTTCAAATTTCGTGAAAATCGGCCCAAAACTGACAGACAAAATGGTCGCCCTTCGTTCTCAAATAGTGTAAAAATATGGTATATCAAGGTTGTGGACCCTATGGAGGTCACAATTTTAATCCGATTTTGTTGAAACTTGAAATGTAAGTTTATAACCCAAATATCTTGGTTCCTTTCGATATTCACGCATATCGGACTGTAACTTCCTGAATTATGGCCCCTGATTGTATGAAAAATCGTGTTTTTAGCTTGTGGACCCTATAGAGGTCATAATTATTATCCAATTTAAAAAAACGTATTATTATATCACCGTTACACCCTAAGGACAGCTTAGTTCGATTAGTGAAAATCTGCCCAAAACTGACAAATAAAATGGCCGCCCTTCGTTCTCAAATAGCGTAAAAATAGGGTATATCAAAGTTGTGGACCCAATAGAGGTCACAATTTTTATCCGATTTTGTTGAAACTTGAAATGTAAGTTTATAACACAAAGATCTCGGTTCCTTTCGATATTTGCGCACATCGAATTGTAATTTCGAGAATTATGGCCCTTGATTGTAGGAAAAATCACTTTCTTCTTAGCTTGGTCTCTATCCATCTCTCGAAAATGTGGGCGTATCCTGCCTGGCAGCCGCTGGTTTGTTTATCGGGGGAGGAAAAAATGTAAAAACAAAACAATTGCTTTAAATAGACAAGCTAATCACACTCGGGTAAAAGCCCTTTTCCCAAACAACATAATGACAATTATATATGGTTTGGTCCCAAAAAAGGGGGGTTGGATGGCTAAATGGTTAGCGTGCGCGCGCTGTATCATAAAGTCTGTCATTGAGTCGACTGGTGGGGTTTCGAATCCCCGGTTGTACGTGACCTGGAGTAGGGTCGCCTGTCCAACCTCGTAGGTTTTCTCCGGGTCCTCTGGTTTCCTCCCACTGCTAAAGACCCCAACGCGCTAGCGAATTATTGAAATAAAATTAAACCATATGTTAGTCCCGAAATGACCTAGTTTGTGTCGAGTGAACGTTAAACCCCATTTCTCTCTCTCTCTCTTTGGTCCCAAAAAGTGATATGTTGTGTTGCTTCTGCCTCTATATTTGTTTTGTTTTTTGTTTCAGATCATTTTTCCAGAGTGTGTGTGTTTTAGGATATTGTGTTTGTCCACTAGCTGTGGCTCTTAGTATCTGTCGCATTATACTGATAGCCAATCAAACAACAGCTCTCTTTGTAGTCAGATTCTTGTTTGTTGTAGCAGGATTTGCTTGGTCAACGTTTGGTAAGTAATTTAATTAGGTTTTAAATCAAAAGTAATGTCTATTGGCCTGTATATCATTGAAAAATTAAATTTATTTAATTTAACGTCTTACTTTTCTGCACCAACCAGGCTAATGAAGACAGACTTGCGATGAGCAATGACGGAAATTTGTCCAAACAATAACACTACAGCCTACTCTTATTTGAAATTCCAATTCTCAGCAAATTTTTTTAGCTTGCAATCTGCCAATGATATAAATGGCCGCCCCTTTTTTTTTCGTCCCATGTGAACAATTAGATATCTTTCCTCGCCAGGAAGCCTGTTCATATATAAGACTAGACAGAGAGACAATGATAAAGTACAGCCACTATTTCTACTGAAAAACATACACAGCTTATTTCCATAGCTGAGTAAAGTCAAGAATTATTGCTTAACAACTTATTTTATACAATTTACATGTTTTAACGCAAACTTTCCTTTATTTTTCAGCCTCTACAGCGTTTTTAGGTGATATTCAAGCTCGCAATCGTAAAGTCTTATCTGTCTATCCAATATTTTTATTTTATTTTATAATAAGTTGGTTAATTATTTCTCATACTCATTAATAAATGATTAATTGTATTAATTACTGTAGATGCTTAGTGATCTCATACTTAATCACAAGAACAGAACAGTGCAATTTAATTTATTTAAACCTTTCTTTGTTAAAGTGATGTTACATGGCATTACACATTAATAACTACTTTACTCAACTACAAATCGCTGATCATCATTTGCATTTCATTGGGCATTCTCATTTTTCTTGGCTCAAGTGAACAGAAATTGATTATTTAATTAAGAGAACAGGGCGGGGGGGGGGGGGGTTGTGTGCATGAAATCATAAGATCTGTCATTGAGTCAAGTGGCATGGTTTTGATTCTCTGTTAGTATGTGACAATTGTAGGGTCACCTATCCAACCTTTTGGATTTTCCCCAGGTCCTCCAGTTTCTTCCCACTGCTAAAGACCCCTACGCATTACATATGTTATTCCCGAAATGGCCTAGTTTGTGTTGTGTGGACGTTAGACCCCATTTCACTCTCTTTAGAAAACAAACCAACATATCAAGAGTAGATAATCTACAAACTGGGATTCAATCTGAATAAAAAGAGGTCCATCAAAAGTTTTTACTGAACACTTATAGGTGATGTTGGTTTGTTTGTGTCATCTGCAGAGGATGCCAAATATTTGGAAATTTTCAATTCATCATAACTTTGTTTATACTGAATAGAAATGAACCATTTTAGGACTGATATTCTGATTAGAAATTTAACTTTCACAATATTGTAGTTTGCTAGGTATTCAAAATCCATCAAATGATTATTAACAACTTCAAGACTGATATTATTATTAGAAATTCAACTTTCACAACATTTGTAGTTTGCTAATTAGTCAAAATCTGTCAAATGATTATTAACAGCTTCAAGACTGATATTATTATTAGCGATTTAACTTTCACAACATTTGTAGTTTGCTAATTAGTCAAAATCTGTCAAATGATTATTAACAACTTCAAGACTGATATTATTATTAGAAATTCAACTTTTACAATATTCTAGTTTGCAAGGTAGTTAAAATCAATCAAATGATTATCAACAGCTTCGAGACTAATATTATTATTAGGGATTTAACTTTCACAATATGGAAGTTTGCAAATGATTCAAAATCACTCAAATGATGATCAGAGACTTTTAATAAAGTATAAATTAAAAAAAATATATATTTGCTGAGATTTCGTAATTTATGGATAATTTAAATTTGTGTAATTAAGCATCAGATCAGATTAATAATAATTGGAAGGGTGGAGGGGGGAAGTGGGGGTTACTTGTATAAAAAAAAATGATTGGATTGTGATTTATAGTTCTGTATGTTTCAAAATTGTGGGTGGTTATTAATATAGATTCTAACTAGACAGTCAGAGATGTAGCTTCTGATGATATTTTACTTTTATCATGAAGACAAAATAACATGTGCAACAAATTAGATCTGAGGCAGATCTGCCAATGGTATATTAATATAAGTTTATTAATGCTTTGATCCTTTTTGCGTTTGCAGTTTACATTTGGGAAAGGGTGTCAAATCAGATTGTATGCAAATTTGTGGTTTTGCAGGAGTTCGTTAAAGTCATGGATTGTACTGAAAGTTGTTTTCAGTTTAAATTGGGGAGGGGTTTAAATTAGATTGTATGCAAATTTGTGGTTTTCAAGGACTTGAAATATGATTTACTCAATGTAGACCAAAGCTTTCATTAATTACTTGAGTCAAGGGTTGCATTGAATATGATATTATGTAAAATTAACACCATTTATTTTCTTGTTGAAAGTGATATGTTATATTGTTATTTGTTGTTTTGTTAATTTGATTTTAATACAAGTTGAATTTGTTATTATTATCTCATACTGTATGATGTTCATACTTTAATACAAGTTAGTATTAGATGGTATTATTGTCCCATACTTCATGCTAATGTTTTGTTAATTTGATTTTAATACAAGTTGGACTTGTTATTATTTTCTCATACTTCATGGTGTCCATACTTTAATACAAATTGTTATTATTATCTCATACTTCATGGTGTCCATACAAATTGTTATTATATTGTATTAATGTGAGAATGTCCCCTACTTCACACATAATCATCTCTATTGTAATTACTACATGTACATTTATTCATGGATGTTTCCATTCATATTCTCATTTACAACATCAAATTTATGTTCATGTACCTACTATATTTACTATATTTACTTGTTGTTAATATTATAAATTGGTTCAACACACTCAAAAAATCTTTATTACTATTCTTAAAAGCAGTTATTTTAAATATTTCATTTTCCTGTCTAAATATGTCCAATAAACTAGAGTCAAGTTACTAAATATATACTTGCAAATACATTGTGATATTACTATTTTCCAGAATACTTACATCAGGGTCTTATTTAAAAAAACTGGAATGGTCAAATTTGAAAAATACTGGCTAAAATTTGTATTACGATTTTAACTTTCTGCAAATCGAAAGTCGGAATCCTTAAAATATTCTAGTACAAATTTTGTCTGATACGGCCTCTAATTTTGTAACAGTATATTGAGTATTTTATATTTTTGAATAAAATATAAATGTACGTTTTATTTAATCATATGGAGAGATCACATGATAGTTGGTCTAGTTGACATGGCAGTTCTTAATACTGATCTATATTTAGTAACTGGTTTATAGCTATTTTGTTTTATAATATAGTTTATTTGAAAAGTAAAATATATATCTCTAGTCTTATATCAAGAAAGTATTTTTTCACCAAAAGAAATGGTGAAGAGGTGTGGAAACATTTGCAGAATAATCACTGAGAATTTTCAAGTTTATTACTTAGAATTTAGTTATATTTTCGGTGACCTTTGAACATTTAAATAATTTGGGAGCTTATTTCAAATCTGCTATTTCTGTCCATTTGCATTTGGTTATCTTTTGTAAAATTGGTGAGGTTACATTCTAGTTTCAAGAAATGGTTCCCAAAAAGCATTACTGGGAAAGGTTGGCCACAATGGCATTTCTCTACTCAATTCATCCCATTGTTACCACTCCTTTTCATTCCTTAAAAGAGCATGAATGTTTGGATGGGATAATTGAAAATTGAAAGTGTTTATTTACTTAATTCTGATTAGTAACAAATTTAACTGCATAGCTATAACCATGTCAAGAAAACAAAACTTAATAACGGAGGGAGTGGGGGGTATGGCCAAGTGATTTAGCTGGTTTCGATCCATGATGTGATCGTATATGGCTTGGAGATAGGGCCACATTCTCAATCTTGTGGGTTTACTCCGGGTACTTTGGTTTCCTCCCACAGAAAAGACCCCTGCGCATGCACTAGGCATAATAAAATAAGATAAATCTTCTGCGATATCACCATTAGTGGAATAGTAGAAGAAAACCTTATAAAGAGAGAAATCTACTTTCTCAACAAGACTGAAAATCAATAACCCACATAACACTATTGTATTAACTTCAATTAATGCAGCAATAATTGGATGATAAAAAGAAATATTTGATCAATATTATTTTAACCTGTTGTCAGTTCAAGTTTAGGTGCTGCCTGGGTGAAATACACAGCTTGTTAAGTAAACACTGTGCACAACGCCTACGCAACACTTAAACAAGTTTTATCCTTGTCAAAATAAACACACAATATAACAATGTAGGTAGGTATGTCTACTGCGTATTCAAAAAACTCTTAAAATATATAAAAAAAATTGAATCTGATATATCTTTGTATATTATTGTATATTTTCTTGTAAATAAAAATGTAAATAAAGGGATATTAATAAATAATTTATTTGAAAATTGTGACGTATTTTGAATTTAAAGTTTGAAGTTGCCCGGGGCATATTGTATTTTGGAATGATAGCACATAAAGCTTGGGACCATACCACTCTTCAAATAAAGTTTGCCAGGGTAGCTGATGCACCATTGAATTCAAGGATCTAAATACTGCAGTATTTTACAAAATATTTGCTATGTGGGGTCCCTAAATGTGAACCACCCATATGCTCTGGATCTGGATATATTGTGGTTCTGTAGAGCCCGGTTGGACCAGACAACCCAAAATAAATATATTTACATAACTGATATCTGAAATTGGATTGATTTTTAAAAAAAGACCCTTTGTCCCACATATTCTTTGCAGGCAGTTTCTCTGCTGTGGTTGATTTAAGAAGAGAGGTGCTGCTCAGGTGAAATGCACATTTTAAATCTCAAACTGTGCACAACGCCTACGCAACATTTCAAATTCTGACATTGCTCTGCATATGGGCACAGCTGTTCAACAACTCGGATCCTTTCTGAAAAAAAAATGAAATCATAAAACATTTATTGTTTTGACCGTAACAAAATGGTGGGTAACAGTAGGCCTACACTAATACAGCTTCATGTAGTCGTTACAAGCAGGGACGGAAAATTGATTTACACTCAACATTAAAACCATCGGTATTCGTCAAGAAAGCTCCTTTGACAGCGTATCTGCGTTTTGAATCTGAAAGATAATGTCGCACGTAGAAGATTCCGTGGAATGAACTAGAAGAAAACTACCATCTCGCATTGTACATATAACCATAAAACTACCATCTTGCATTGTACGTAAAACCATAAACATAAACACCATGTTAGTCTCAAAATGACCAATGTATTGTGCTACTCAGACGTTAAATTCTTATTCCTTTCTATTGCGCACATTTCATTTACAATTCTGCTTTCCTATTTATAGATCCGTCAATCTTTTTCTTACCCTTTAAAGTATTATTATTTAGGCCAACTGATTATCCACTGGCAATTCCAAGCAAAATGCTGAATCGGCGCAGTTCAGCAATTAACAGCTAGATGATATGATTGTTCACAGCAGAAGCCAAACTGAAGATATGATTCTAAAAACTGACGTGTCTCATTTTTATATCAAACTTGCGTTATACACGTTCATACCATGGATACACGTAGTTACAAATAATATACACAAATCATATATTTGTTTACAAACATCGTCAGACGTCACTTATTGTGTTAATCCACACTAATCCGACCTCTTAATCAACTTAATCCGTGCTAACTGTAAGAACATTATCTAAAACTTGTTATCCAATCTCAATCTGAACAAAACCGCTTTCTTACACTTACTGTAATTATTATACTGTTATTTAGTATTTTTCGACAATATTTATAATTATTTTTTTGATTAATAAAAACTATTTTCTTTAAAATATGGGAGTTTATAGATTTTGAAGCCAGAAACGTAGTAAGGTTTGATTTAAAATTGGATTCTGAATAAATTTTTTACTAAGTTTAAGATTATGAACTTAATTAAATGAAAATTAACTGCATAACAAGACACAGACAAAACAAATGATACGAGATGAAAGCATATACCAACACCCAGAGAAGAATTTAAAATAAATCATACATGAAAGTATTAACAGAAACCATCTCTAGTGAGATGACAAGAAACAAAAAAAGATTTTCTTCATTGAAAAATAAACAAAAAACACCGTAAAAACAGCGCCACATTTTATTTAGTCATTGGAATTCGACGATCAGAATTAATTTCATTTTACCAAAAACTTATCAAATTTATTTTATGTGCCATGTTCGAATCAAGGCTGCGTGGGACCAGAGGAACCTGTGATATTTTCACTTATAAGGGGTAAAAACATTAAGGATTGAAATTTTAAAAAAGGCCCTGTCCTTCCAGTGGGACAAAAACATGATGTCCAGATATGTATAGATTAGAAGTATAGTAAAATAATCCGTAACGTTTGAATTCGACGAAGAGTGGGTGAGAACGCCACTACCCGGGTAAAATTCATTTCCCTCGTATTACATATGTAACCATGGTCAGTATTCATTTTCAAAAAAGATCTTAGTCTCACAATTATATGAATATAATTTAGATACTTTTAAGCACATTGCATTATAATTTTACTGCAAAAGCAAAATGGTAAATACGCCATATTTAACGTTTTAGATTATATAAAAGATAAATTTATTTTTTAATTGAATAAGAAGACAAATAGAATCAATTGTTTGATATCCCTTTAACGTGAAATATGAATAGTCACCTTTTACAGTCGTTAATCGCGACCCTTAAATCTTTCGATAATCCCTAATTCGGGTAAGCCGATTACCAGGGGTTGTGACCTTATTAACTAATAACGCATAGTAATTCAAGGGTATATAGGCCCATGTATGGATCCATTTCTTCATTCGAGCTTCAACTCCTCAACAGTTAACATTAAGGAGCATGGGTTTTACCTGGGAGTATTTTGCCAATTATTGTGCACCTGTGTCTACAATATGTCCATGTGTGTAACCGGATGTTAAATTCAACTTTAACAAGAAATGATATGGTTTATGAATGGTAAATATAAAACTAATTGGACAAATTTGATGCTTGTTAGTTAATCGTACTGCTCTGTTACCTGAGAAATAAAATAGCCAGGGGGATGACTTTTATGGTTATCGATACCCACTACCAGGATTCGATCTGCTTTTTGGTGCATCCGAAGGACTATTACCTTTGTTCATTGCTATTTTGAATACGCTGTCCGCATATTTACAGCTAAATATGCTTATAAATAGCCAGGGCTCTATCTTTTCGGTTTATCGATACCTTTCTCGATTCGACTTACGTTTTGGAGCCTTCAAAGAACTATTTGTTAATTGCTGTTCTGTCATGCAAAAATATCATTTAGTGATTTTGATGTTGCGTAGGCATTGTGCACAGTATGTACATATAACTGTGGATTTCGCCTGAGCAGCATCAAGGTTTCTTATACATGTATCTCTTTTTTTTAAAGTTCTGGCAAAAAGACATGGTTATTTGGTTTTTGCGTAGGCATTGTGCACAGTGTGTACATAAAACTGTGCATCTAGCCTGAGCAGCATCCAGGTTTCTTAAATCTCTTTTTGAAATCAATGGTACATTTGTGATATAAATAAACTCGGTGAATTGGTTATTGCGTAGGCGCTGTGCACAGTATTTAATAGAACTGTGTATTTCACTTACTCGTCAACCAGTTGACTTTACTCGACCCTGTAACTCTGGCCTCTAGATCTAGAAGGTCCCCAGTTCTCCATTCGGCATTCCTCGGGTAATTTCTATGATTCAATTGCTGTAGTGTATGGACTGCATGTCTATTCCATCTAAGAAACTATAGATGGAGATATAAGGAATCTGTGAGTAAGGCTCGACCCTGGTTTTAGCCGCGACATTTCCATGGTATATTTCACCTTGGTTTTGAATTGTTAGTGGTGCAGGAAAGGGATTTGGCGTTGGGCAGTTATCGCCGAAATGGCGATGGGTACCAACTTTCTAAAGTTCGTTCTTTGTAGAAAGTACATTTCTCGAGCCAATGCGAAATTAAGAAGTATCACCCGAGGATTGTAATGTTGCGTAGGCGTTGTGCACAGTCATTAACAATACGAACTGTGTATTCCACTTACTCAGCATTTCGTTTTCTCTAATGCAGCATTATTTCCATATATATATAATATTCTTTACTTTAGAGGACCCAGCAGTTTAGAATATATGAAACCATTGTTTAATGTCAACGAGTCTCAAAAAACATATGTATCATACTATATTAATTAAGTTTCTTGTTTCTTTAGGGATTTATTGGGGTTTTTTTTTATTATTTGAAATAAAGTTTTTAAATTCTACACCATATAGTATTTTAATTTTTGACATTACCATGGTCAGTAAAAAGCAACTGAAAGGTACCAGTCAGTTTAGATTAAAAGAAAATGCCTCAGGGGATCGCATCGGTGCACCCGGTATTTGAACAGTACGTGGAGTGTCAGCGACCAACCTACCGCCTTCCCAAAATCAAAAGAAAACCTATCATTCTGTTTGGGATATTTTCTTCTCTGCAGGCCTTTCTTGTATAACACAAATATAAATTGAAAACAACATCACATACGGCAGACCTGTGACGTTTTTCATGATGACCTTCTTGCCAATCCACTGGATATTGGAATAATATATATTTGGTAGCAAACTTCATTTCCAGTAGATTATGAATATAATCGGGGATTAAGAAATATGTTTACTTCCAATGAAAGATGGTAACGCAGAAATAGGAGAATACAACCTACTTTTGTCCACCAACTGTGCTGATAACGATATCTGCTTTGAGGGGAATTTTGCCCGGGCAGTGGGTTTTCCACCTCAAGGGTTCTTTTACGTGATCGCCAAGAAGTACAAGCGTGGCCCTCTGGTTTTCGTCCCTTCCAAACAATGGACGCCTTTTCCTTGACATGCTCTCCACCAGGTACCACTGGCAATAAGGAAGCCAAGGTGTGAAATTCATTTCGGAATCCGTAAAACAATTTTCGGAAAATCGTTCCATGAGTAACTCACCAGCACGATTCAATGTGGTTTAACATCCTACTTTTCTAGATCAACCGGGATATTGAAGATGGACGTGATTTAACTAAATTGATTATAGTGCTTGAGCCAAATTACGAATCGTAACAAATAAACCTCATTTTAAATGTTTCAAACATATTTATTAGGAGTGGGTGGGGTGTGATCGTCGAATAGTCCTACGCGTGCGTTTTAGGTCTGTCATTGAGTCAAGTGGCGTGGTTTCGATCCCAAGCATATATGGTAGTCTGCCCAACGTCGTGAGCTTTTTCCCAGTCCTCCGGTTTATTTCCACCCTAAGATCAAGCAAATTATTGAAATAAAGGTGTACCATATGTTAGACCCGAAATGGACTGACAGGACACTATAACAAGGAACTGGGGTTTGGGTATGCGTTAACGAGTCAGTTGACGTGGTTTCGATTCCGTGCTTGTACGTGACCAGAAGTAGGGTTGTCTGTCCAATCTCGTGGGTTTTCTCCGGGTCCTCAGGTATCCTCGCACTGCTAAAGACCCCTACCACGCGATTTATTGAAATAAAACTGAACCACGTTAGTCCCGAAATGACCTAGTTTGTGTCGTGTGGACGTTAATCCTCTCTCTCTCTCTCTCTCTCTCAATGGTATATTTGTGATATAAATAAACTTGGTGAATTGGCTTTTGCGTAGGCGCTGTACACAGTATTTAATAGAACTGTGTATTTCACTTACTCGTCAACCAGTTGACTTTACTCGACCCTGTAACTCCGGAGACCTAGAAGGTCCTCAGTTCTCCATTCGGCATTCCTCGGATAATTTCTATGATTCGGTTGGTGTACTGTATAGCCATAATAGACTGCATATCTATCTAAGAAACTATAGATGAGGAATCTGTGAGTAAGGCTCGGCCCTGGTGTTGGCCGCGACATTTCCATGGTATTTTCCACCTTGGTTTTGCCATGTTAGTGGTGCAAGAAAGGGATTTGGCGTTGGGCAGTTATCACCGAGATGGCGATGGGTACCAACCTTCCCAATTTCGTTCTTTGTAGAAAGTAATTTTCTCGAGCCAATGCGAAATTAAGAAGTATCACTCGGGGATTGTAATGTTGCGTAGGCGTTGTGCACAGTCATAAACAATACAAACTGTGTATTCCACTTACTCAGCATTTCGATTTCTCTAATGCAGCATTATTTCCAGATATAAATAATCTTCTTTACTTTAGAGGACCCAGCAGTTTAGAATACATGAAACCATTGTTTAATGTCATACTATATTAATTTTCTTGTAAAAATGATTCTTTAGGGATTTATTGGTGGTTTTTTTTATTATTTGAAATAAAGTTTTTAAATTCTACACCATATAATATTTCATTTTTTGACATTACCATGGTCAGTAAAAAGCAGCTGAAAGGTACCAGTCAGCTTAGCTCTACACTAGCCTAATAGTGGAACGAGTGGATTCCCAGTTCTTGGAAATTAAATGCGGAATGAATGTTTGTTATATATTCTGAACCAGTATGGTGTGTAGTATTCCAGAAAAATTCCCCCCGTCAATCTGTTTTGGGGAAAAAAATTTGTGGCCGGTTGAAATTTTGGCCTTCGGTGATCACATAAAAAGAAGGATAATTTCGGTATGAATAGATTTTCGACATTTTCTGACGAATTATCATGGTAAAATCTCGCACACAATTCACAAAACGATCAGAGAATAATATTTGGTGATAATAAAATCAGAAATCATATGACGTCATCATTGAAATCCAAGATGGCGGCCAAAATCTCATAAGTTATCAATTTCAAGTTAAATATATCTTGTAATATATCTATCCACAGGTTTATATATCATCTGAGTACGATTAACATAGTAAAAACTCATTTACCACGGTATTAAATCCGGGAAAATAATATTCGTGACTCACCGATTAGTCCCCATCGTCATCCAGATCAACTGCTTCCACATTCGTACAGTTCTCTCCGCGGCAACCGCCACATACATCAACACATTTGAGACCATTTTTATGGCACGTGCACATATTTGTGCCGCATTGGTTCCGGATCGACTTGCATTTACACCTCAAAAAGTTGAGTACCGTGTCGGGAGCTGGTGGCAAGTCCGTTCGGACTGGCTCATAAGATCCACTGTCATTCGCCCATCCCCATTCAGTTGGATCCAATGCAGATTCGTCCAATTTTGCCCATACGACTACTTGTAAATGTATCCTTAGTGCGTGGAAGTGTGCCGCTCTATCAGTTGGGGCATACGCTCGATGTCAATCCGGTTCTTTTCAGCCATCATCCAAAGAGGGCACTACCAGCTTTACCAACGGAATCCGGTGAACTGTTCAATTTAGATATTATCTTAGCCCAACCTTGCACGCCTTTGTCGCACAAACATTTTATTATTGAATTCTTTCCTTGCCCATAACACTGCGACGTCGTGTCGCTGCCTGACCAGGCATGGGCGAAAAGAATATTATCTTTCAGCGTACACAAACACCGTGTATGCTGAACACCCGGACTTCTGTCCCTTTCGTCGTTGTTTCTCGCCTGAGATAAATATCGTGCATATTCTCACTCCAATGATGGATTAGCAGAACTTAAATGTCTGTTGAATTCGCTACTACCGTTACCGGTTCTTCATTTTTAGCGTAGTTTAGGGCCGTTGACACCATGGTGGTGTCGGCGTCACTTTCACAGCACTTTACGCAATGTAAAGAACCAGATTGACGTCGAGCGTATGCCCCCAACTGATAGAGCGGTACACTTCCACGCACTAAGGGTACATTTACAAGTAGTCGTATGGGCAAAATTGGTCGAATCTGCATTGGATCCAACCGAATGGGGATGGGCGAATGACAGTGGATCTTATGAGCCAGTCCGAACGGACTTTCCACCAGCTCCCGACTCGGTACTCAACTTTTTGAGGTGTAAATGCAAGTCGATCCGGAACCAATGCGGCACAAATATGTGCACGTGCCATAAAAATGGTCTCAAATGTGTTGATGTATGTGGCGGTTGCCGCGGAGAGAACTGCACGAATGTGGAAGCAGTTGATCTGGATGACGATGGGGACTAATCGGTGAGTCACGAATATTATTTTCCCGGATTTAATACCGTGGTAAATGAGTTTTTACTATGTTAATCGTACTCAGATGATATATAAACCTGTGGATAGACATATTACAAGATATATTTAACTTGAAATTGATAACTTATGAGATTTTGGCCGCCATCTTGGATTTCAATGATGACGTCATATGATTTCTGATTTTATTATCACCAAATATTATTCTCTGGTCGTTTTGTGAATTGTGTGCGAGATTTTACCATGATAATTCGTCAGAAAATGTCGAAAATCTATTCATACCAAAATTAACCCTCTTTTTATGTGATCACCGAAGGCCAAAATTTCAACCGGCCACAATTTTTTTTCCCCAAAACAGATTGACGGGGGGAATTTTTCTGGAATACTACACACCATACTGGTTCAGAATATATAACAAACATTCATTCCGCATTTAATTCCCAAGAAATATATACCTCTACTAGCCTACACCCAAAGATTCAAAGAAAATGCCCCAGGGGATCTCATCGGTGCACCCGGGATTTGAACAGTACGTGGAGTGTCAGCGACCAACCTACCCCTTTCCCTGTCGTTCCTCTAATTGGAACGAAAATCAAGATAAAACCTGTCTGGGATATTTTCTTCTCTGCAGTTCTTCCTTTTTAACACAAATATAAATTGAAAACAACGTCACATACGACAGACCTGTGACGTTTTTCATGATAACCTGCTTTCCAATCAACTGGATGTTGGAGTAATATTTATTTGGTAGCAAACTTCATTTCCAGTAGATTATGGATAGAATCGAGGATTAAGAAATATGTTTACTTCCAATGAAAGATGGTAACCATGAGCCATACCCAGATATGGGAATATACAACCTACTTTTCTCCACCAACTGTGCTGATAACGAAATCTTTTTTGAGAGGAATTTTGCCCGGGCAGTGGCCTTTCCACCTCAAGGGTTCTTTTACGTGATTGCCAAGAAGTACAAGTGTGCAGGTCCTCTTACGCGTGCGTTTTAGGTCTGTCATTGAGTCAAGAGGCGTGATTTCGATCCCAAGCATGGTACTCTGCCCAATGTCGTGAGCTTTTTCCCGGTCCTCCGGATTATTTCCACTGCTAAAGATGTTAAAGGCAAGCGAATTATTGAAACAAATTACACCATATATTAGACCCTAAATGGGCTGACAGGACACTCTGACAAGGAACTGGTGGTTGAGTGGCCGAATGGTTAACGCGTGTGCATTGAATCATAAGGTCTGTCATTGAGTCAGTTGGCGTGGTTTTGATTCCGTGCTTGTACGTGACCAGAAGTAAGGTCGTCTGTCCAACCTTGTGGGTTTTCTCCTCATTCCCTCTCTCTCTCTGACAAGGAACTGTGTCTAGTCGTTCGGTGGTTAGGCGGGAGGGGGGGGTGGAGGGGATGACCGAATGGTTAGTACGTGCGCGCTGTATCATAAGGTCTGTCATTGAGTCAACTGGCGTGGTTTCGATTCCCCGGGTGTACGTGACAAGGAGTAGGGTCTGTTGGTTCGTGTGGGGGGGGGGGGATAAAGCTCAACGTTATTTTACTTCGAGAATTTTACAAAATAATGTTTTATTTATAAAAGCATTAATCTTTTTATGTACACGCCAATGTGTACTTGGGACCTTGTTTTCCATTTACTCCGATGGACTATACACACACAGTTAATTGGAGGGCGTTTTGCCATGCACCACGTACTGACAAAGGGAAGCCACGCCAGAAGACTCCGATGACCTTTCTCGGCCAAAGAGGGAGAGAGGGGGGAGAGCGGTGGGGTTTAATGTCCACTCGACACAAACTGGGTCATTTCGGGACTAACATATTGTTCAATTTTTTTTCTATAATTCGCTTGCACGTAGCAGTGGGAGGACCCGGAGAAAACCCAAGAGGTTGGATTTGCGCCTAGAATTATTATAATAGCTGAGTAACGTGGTTTCTCTCCCCCTTCCCTCCCTTATTTTCGTGTCTAGTGGTCTTGTTTTGTGTCAATGTTACATTTAAAGATTCGGGAATGCGGTAGCTTCTTTCATACAGAATTCTTGAGTTTCAGGTAAAAATCGTTAATGCGTGGTATAGGGGAGATAACTACATTTAAGCTTTTTTGTGATTGAGGTAAAACTGGTACATGTCATGTGATGTAAATATTTTGTCGTTTTCTTTTTTAATAAATCAAAAACTATTATACTTTGGAAAAAGTTGGGTCCACGCTTCATATCATTAAAGATATATCATAGCATTAAAAGATTTTTAATTGTGAATATTATTCTAAAATATTTGAACCATTGGCTGCGGTACAGCACGAAAAGCATCAAAATGGCGGCTTCCTTGACGAAATTTATTATTTCTTAGAAAATACTCAAAATATTAGTAATTTTAACAAAAAATTCGCAATATTGTTTTTGTAAAATGACGCACTGGGATAAGTAACATATTTCTAGCTTGAAACAAAAAGACCCATGAAGGAAATCATGGAAAAATCAGCTCCAGAATACTTGACAGCTGACGAATTGAGGAATCGGTTGTTTCACAGTTTGAGGAACCGTGGAATGGTCAATTCCATCAAGGTAACGTACTTTAACTTATCTGAAATATGTGTAAATGAAAAGACAAATCCAAGAGGTACGTCTCTTGTTTTTAACAACATTGTTATTCATTGATCTAGGATGATAAACCACCCGCCAAACGGAGATTTCATGTTGTTGCTTGTTTACAACACGTGACCATACCAAAGCGGGGGATTTAATTATACTGTTATCACACTAATAAAAATCCCCCTGTTTATAAGCATACATGTATGTGTTATAAACATTAAACATAATATTGAACCAAATTACTTTTTTAATTCAAGCAACGTTTAAAACCCTCAACGAAACGTCGCTTTAATTAAAGATACCGGTAAATTAAAATAGTAATTGTGTTCTATATTAATATTATGATTTTGTGGTTACTATGTTCGTCCACTCTAAGAAAGCATTGAACAGACAAGATAAATGAATACTGATATTATTATTATTATTATTATGTACCTTTTCTCTTAAATTATCACATCTCCACATAACTATTTTTATCATAATTCTTAAATAGTTAAGGCCTAAAAACTCACTCCCATTCATTATCAATGGGATGACCTTGACAATTGATAGAGGAAATTTTGAAAATAAAGTACCGGTAATTGCTGCACATAGTCATGTACACAAGAAATTGTATTTATAATTAGCATATGAATGTTATTGATTTTTATGCATACAGCTGTATGTACATGTTCCATATGACTCACTAATTCTGTCACTATACAGGAAATATAAAATTATAGGCTGAAAGTCATTAACAGGTTTGCAGAAATTTACAATAAGTGAAATACATGTACACAAAGGCATCATATCTTGTCAAGCAGCACAACTAGATACTTGCAAGTACAAGTATGTGTTATATAGATCTACAGCTAGCTAGAAAAATCTTGAAATAGAAAAAAGAAAGATTTTTTTTACATTACATTATTATAAGAAACTTTATTTTGAGACCAATAAGCAAATTTGCTGAGTGATAAATAACTAAATAATTAGATTGTGGATCTTCAAAGGAACATAACTCTATCAATAATGTGTACATGTGGACCTACATTTCTGATCAGCAATATCACTGTTGGTGGACGCAGAAGTAGTATAGACAATATACATGTAATCATTGACCTGTATGAACAAAATTTATTTTTCAGTCACAGTTGAGAAATAGTTTAGTGACCGAGTTACAACAGTCGTTAAAAGGTCGTTTGAGTTTACGTGATTTAAAAATACCAGACGAAGATTCTCTCCTACATCGAGCTGCTAACAGTGTTGTTGTTGATCATCTCAGGAGTTATGGTTATGATTATACAGCCAGTGTATTTTTACCAGAAAGTGGTCTGGCCCATGATAAGGTAAGATCAATGCAGATAACTCTGTTTTTATATTACGCAATACAGTGAATCACAATTTGTCATTAAATACATGGTGCCATATTCTCTTCCTGTTTACATAGCTTGTCTTCCTTGTTTTCATGTTGAACAAAGTTTGTATCAGGACTGTAAAGACCCAGGACTGTACTGCAAAGGGGGGTTGGATGGCCGAATGGTTAGCACGTGCGCGCTGTATCATAAGGCCTGTCATTGAGTCGAATCCCCGATTGTATGTGACAAGGAGTAGGGTTGCCTGTCCAACCTCTTGGGTTTTCTCCAGGTCCTCCGGTTTCCTCCCACTGCTAAAGACCCCTACAAGCAAGCGAATTATTGAAATAAAATTAAACCATATGTTAGTCCCGAAATGAACTAGTTTGTGTCGAGTGAACGTTAAACCACATTTCTCTCTCTATGTTTTTTGATACCTTTGCCGTGACCATTTGTGCCTTGTCCACAAGTTTTTCTGTTTTGTTTCTGTTACTTTTAACCCTAAAATATTAATATTTACAATCAATCATGAAGTCTAAAAGTTGAAAAATGCAAAGGTGCTCAAATATGACTTTAACATATGCAAGTATATGTAAGCCTTGAGTATCTTTGGTTGCAGTTGAGAAATAAATTTATTTACATCTATGTGTAGATTCAAAGTTTAAAAGCAGCTTTTTCACAAGTGCTGTTGGTGCCATTTTTGTGGATATATATTGAAAATAAATGATAGATTATGTAGTCATTATGATTATATTTCATTGAAATATTTTTGAACAGGTTTTTAAAAGAGATGATTTTCTTCAACTTCTACACATTAGTCCACAATCCAAGTTACATCAACAGCTGGTAAGTTGATTTATTATTACTTGTGGTAGGTAAGCAACATTTACCATGAAATACTTAGTAACAAATAGTAACTTTTATTTTGGTTTGCATCTGAAGTTCGCTTTGGATACTAATCAAATTGTGTTTCTGATCACATTTGCTTAGTTTAAAAATCTTTTTCATAATACTTCAAAGTGTGGTGTGTATTGCTGCTCCTTCAAAACACTTAATCTGAATTTAAAAAATTCTAATCACTTTGATGAAGATCTTATCTCATACTTCAGGTAAAACAAAGTGAATTCAGACAAAACAATTTAAATCTGATATGATTTAATCAATCTTTTTTTTTTTTTTTTTTTGCAGGTGAGGTGTGATGAAAAAGAAGGCAAAGGTTTGTGTATTTTTTAGGTTTTTAATTTCCATTAGCTGTTTTCATTAACTCTCTGTAGATAGATAATGATGTAATAGGTAACTGGACAACAAAACACTGACAAAACAAATAATGCAAGCGCATAGTTCAATAAGATAATATGCTCTCAGAATATATAAGCCTACATTGTTATATAAAACAATTTATAATAATTGTATTTCAGGGTTTTTATGGAGTTTTTTAACAGAGATGTCAGCAATTCATGCCAATTCTACACAAGAATTTGGTGTACAAACAGATCTGATCAAAGTTGGTCCAATATCTAGCTTAGGTGAGTAAACAAACAGCTTTTTGAAATTCGAAATTGTGATTGTGTAGTTTGACCTCACTCTTATTTGGTTCATATACATGTACTCACACGATTTAGATACTTTTATAGACATATACTGTTTTGGCTACTTCTTAACAGTTTGGCATTTGATTTGTCTAGTTAAACATGCATTATGCAAGAGCAAAATCTGCTTATTACAAGTCTTTCTTTAGGCCTGAAATGTTATCTAAATTATCAATTAGACATTAATTAACTTATCCAGACCATAATAAACTCTCGATGTCAAGGCTAGCCTTTGATGTTGGCTGGATTAGATTCCTATATGCCGCTAACAGCCACTGATAATTAAATCAGAAAAAGTGGATAATGGAGACTATGCTGTTTATATTAATGATTTTAGTAATGATGACCGAGACTATGCAAAAATTGCACCCGCTTCTTTCTCGGCTCATAGTGGATCAATTTGACTGAAATTTTCAGCAAATTACATTTACACTATCTAGTTTTTAACTATTATAGCGAGAACTGCCATCTCTTTATCTTATCTCCCATAATGTATCTTTAAATAAACTGATACCTGATGAAACTGGGACTTCTACTTAAGTTAGATGAAGGGCTATAATTATACATCTTGTAAAAACTTTGTATAGTAATAATAAAATGATTATATATTTATTGTGTTGTATATATCTGTATTTTGTGTGAAATATTCATGTTGTATATGTCTGTGATATATTTTGATCTAGATGAGAAGCTACATGTTTTAGATGAACTGTATTCAAGTAAAAGAGATGATGTATTTAAATCTAGTGCCATGTTGACAGAAGAAAGAATTTTAAATTTTCAAAAACAAGTAGAAGAAAGATATCAAGCTCAGTTAAAACAGGAGGTAAATAGAAACAGATGTGCTGACATAGTGTGAAACAGTAAAACGATAGGACACACACACACAGCGGAACCTCTTGGAGTGGAGACTTGCATTTATTTTGATCGCTTTATTTACTCATTAACTATATAATTTAGATTACCTTGATTAATGGTTTATTAGATGTCTTGCTTACTGGGACAGTATTTTGTTTAAAACTCAAGTCATTTGCCAATAAAGCATGGGAAATGCTGTATCGATGCCATATTTGACAAGTTTAAGGAAATGATAGATTACTCCTATCAACAAAATCTATTTTGTTTTAATCATTATAATATTTATATATTGTAGATTCGACGTTTCCGTGAGAATGAGTTATCAAGGTTAAAATTGGAAGAAAGAGAAAACAGTAGAAGAGAAATGGACCAGTTGCGAAGAGATGTAAGAATACAATCCCCTTTATTTTTCGGCTCCCAAGATAATTCTAGGATTAAATGTGGATTTTGGATTCGCAAAATACTTACCAAACTGAAAAGCGAGAGAAATGGGGTTTTAGGGAGACAAAAATTATATTATTTGATTTCAATTATTAGCTTGGGAGCCAGAGTTATTAGTAGTGGAGAAGGGGGGGTTTGCTCGCCGAATGGTTAGCGTGTGTGCATTGTATCATAAGGTCTGTCATTGAGTAAACTAGTGTGTTTTCGATTCCCAGGTTGTACGTGACAAGGAGTAGGGTCGTCTGTCCAACATCGTAAGTTTTCTCTGGGTCTTCCCATTTCCTCCCACTACTAAAGACCCCTACACGCAAGCCAATTATTGAAATAAAATTGAACCATATGTTAGTCCCGAAATGACCTTTTTTGTGTTGAGTGGACTGTAAACCCCATTTCTCTCTCTCTCTCTCTCTCTCTCTCTCTCTCTCTCTCTCTCTCTCTCTCTCATTAGTAGTGGGTAGAAACTGGAGATGCCAGAGAAAACCTACAAGACTAGACAGGCAACACTACTCCAGGTGTGGGATCAAAACCACAACATTTCGATATTCAGCAAACTAACTAAGATATTAATATGAAATATTTTTTTCTGTATTATTTATGTCCTAGTTAGAGAGATTATCTATATGTGTTTGTGTGAGATAATTGTTTTATTTATATTATAGTTAGAGAGAGATTATCAGACTAAGTATGACACCCTATCAGTACGAGAGAGAAATACAACAGAAAGATTACACAGAGAACAGGAGGTAAATAACATATTACTATTATAGTTTAATTTAGTCCATTTTATGTTCCACGGTCAACCATGTAAACCAAAGACATAACTAAAAGAAGTAAATACTCTGAGGAAAGCTTTTGAACTTCATAGTCATGCAACAAGGTTCTCTTTATAGGCAAGATTTTTGGAGAAAGAAATTTCATACTTGCTGGAATAGTGTGGCTAGTCATATGGGAAAATGCAGAGTTATTGCTCCTTTTCTCAAAACTTAGACACACTTTATAATTAAATGTTTTTGAGATTTTTTTCCAAATTGCTGCATAATGGGGAATGCTATTGAGATTTCGAGTCAGCAATCAGTTATGTTGCTGGTAATCCTGTGCTATTGTTTGACAGATAAATACTTCATTCCATTATTTCTCTTTTAATCTATTTGTGATATACTATTCAAAAAAAGTAGGGGATATTTGATTTTTAAGTGTTATTAAAGTCACCTAATGAAACTGACGAAGAAACAAATGACAAAATGAAATGAAGTTCACATTCATCGATTTATTCCAAATGATCGTTAGACTAAGTAAGGCACAGACGGACCATTATAAGGGTAAAATGATACCCGGGGTCAAACAGCAAAGTTACCACAGCATCACAACCAAGTCAGTAACGGGTAAATCCTCTTCTGTTTGCCAAACAAGCATTGATCCGACGTGGCATACTCCTAATGAGACGTCTTAAGGTCATTTTGGTCCAGATTGTCCCATTCCTGTTGCAACGCAGCAGCAAGTTCTTGGACATTGGCAGGAAGTTGTTGACGTTGACGTAACCTCTGTCCAAGCATGTCCCAGACATGCTCGATGGGGGAGAGGTCGGGACTCAGTGCTGGCCAAGGTAATGTGGTGATGTTCTGTTGTTGGAGGTAACCTGTAACGATCCTGGCCCTGTGACATCTTGCGTTGTCATCCTGGAAGATGAAACGGCGGCCATGACGTCGTGCGAACGGCACAACATGGACTGCCAAGATGTTGTCCCGGTAGTACTGGCCTGTAACACGCCCTGCAACAACATGTAAAGCCGTTCTTCCAGCAACAGTGATGCCTGCCCACACCATAACAGAACCACCCCCAAATCGATCATGTCTGATGACGTTAACGTCTTGGAAGCGCTCGTTTCGACGATGCCACACCCTCCTACGTCTGTCCAAAAAATCAACAGTGAACCTTGACTCATCTGAAAACATCACATTGCTCCAGCGTCGATTAGCCTGAATGTGATGATCTCTCAAACAAGGGATCACGCGAGGACGTCGGGCGCGAAGGTGACCCCTATGCAGTTGATTCCGAATCGTCTGGCCACTCACTCTCACACCAGTGTCTGTTTGAAGACGAGCGCGGATCTGATTTGCTGTGATGACACGATTTCTCAAGGCCAAGGTACGGATAAATCGATCCTGGGCTTGAGTTGTCGCCCTTGGTCGACCTGAGCGTGGTCTGTCCTGTACAGATTGTGTATCACGGTATCTGGACCATAGCCTGCTTATGACAGACTGAGAAACATTCATCGTCCGCGCCACAACCGCCTGTGTTGTGCTGATCGGTAGCATGCCAAGGGCACGTAACCTTTCATTTTGGGTAAGCCGACGCATATCAAAATTTGTTTTCTGGTCACTAAAACAATTAAACTGATGTTTCCACCCTGGAATTCAATGCCACAATGACTGTAACATTCAAAGTCAGAGTCGTGCAAATCTTGGGTTGGACCCCCATGATGATCCCAAGCATCACCTGCATTCCATGCGGTAGCTATTGGTGCGTTTGGGCGTCACATGTAACTGGAAATGTTTCTTCTGTTAGGTTCTATAGTGACTTTTTTCGTAGTCATTTGCATATTTTAGTATTATGCCCCCAAAACCAAATATCCCCTACTTTTTTTGAATAGTATATATTGTTTTGATACACTTGACATAAATGTATTTATTTGATTGTGTTGTGGATGTATTTATCTGAATATGTTGTGAATATATTTATCTGAATGTGTTGTTGATGGTATTTATCTGAATAAGTTGTGGATATATTTATCTGAATGTGTTGTAGATATAGTTATCTGAATGTGTTGTGGATGTATTTATCTGAATTGTATAGTAGATGTGTTTATCTGAATGTTTTTATTTATGTTATATCTAGATACGAGATAAAGAGATGCATTCCACACGTCAGACATTACAAGAAGAAATCAACTGTATACATCAACGAGAGGCTGATATTAAACGGGAAGCAGAAATTAACAACAGGTTCGATATTTAGAAATTTAAGTTTTAGCGTAGGAAACAATATTAAAACTTGTGCATGAATACCTGCCACTGCTTATATAGCTAAATGAAATACTGGTTGATAACCATAAGAATCATTAAGAGCATAGGTACCATATTTATGTTTATATATTTCACAATTCAACGCTATACGTTTGTTTTCAGATTTAATTATATTTCTGTTGTTTTTTGTGTTTTCAGAGAGAAGAAATTGAATGAAGACCGAATAAAAGCTAGAGAAAGTGAATTAAGATTTCGAGAAGCTGAGGTGAAAAGAAAAGAAATAGAATTTGATCAAAGACTGGAGAATGAAATGGCTAAGTAAGTTCATTTTGTTACAGTAGAACTGAAGTTTCCCTTTTCCTGGCCCTATTTAGAACCGATGTGACATACAAATGCACGGTAATAGGCATATAGAGAATGGATCCTACAGTATTTATTAAGTGGGATTTTGTGGGTAAATCCTCATACTACGTAGAAAAGGTTAATTATGTTTATTATTCATGGAAATTATAGTAAGCTTTTCCGCTCGTGGAGGAAAGACACTTTTCTCACTCCCTCGGTGGTAATCATAATTTTGGTATATGTTTTAATTTTGTCTATTTGATAATGAAGAAAGAAAAAGACAATTACAAGATGTATTCCATAGAAAATTTTCTTTTCTTTTAGTAATCTAGGGTTTTCAGATTATCGGCTTCCAGACACAGTGTATTTAATGAAACAATATATATGTTGTAAACTGATTTGTATTTCAGGTTTAAACTAGATCAACAAGCCAAATTTATCAACAGAACTCAAAATGTGGAGGTCAGAGAGGCAAAGGTTAAAGGTGAGATAATAAATATAATTTAGGATTTTTAGAGTTTTTCTTTTAATTTCATATGGATATTGATTGATTTTTGGAACACAGTCCTTATTTTTGTTATAATGACGTCTTTGTTTTGTTAATAAAGTTTTAGAAAATTCTGATGTTATATAATGAGATTATAGAAATAGTGTACTTCAGCAAATGCTTATGGTTAAATGATTCTTTTATAGAAATAGAGATAGTTATATCAGCTAGTTCTGATTATTTTAGTATTTCAGCTAATTCTGATGTTAAAATGATTATTTTAATATAGAAATCTAGAGTTATATCAGCTAATGGTGTAATAATTATTTTATTATAGAAATCGAAAAGAGTTACGTCAGCTAATTCTGATATCTTAATTTTTTTATTATAGAAATAGAGATATTTTTTTCAGTTAATTCTGATGGTATAATGATTATTGTTTTATAGAAATCAAAAGATTTATATGCTGATAGTTTAATTATTTTATTATAGAAATAGAGTTATATGCTGATAGTAAAATGATTTTATTATAGAAATAGAGAGAGTTATATCAGAAGAGAAAGATAAACTACAGAGTTATAAAGATGATATACGTGATAAAACAAATAGAATCAATGAATTAGAGGTTAGTCATGATTAATCATGATTAAGTTAATCAAATGAAAACTACTTCTAGGCCACCTGTTAAAAGAAATTACCAATATTCAGTGACTCTAAATCACTGCTTAAAAAGGTTTTATACTGTATTCAAAATCTTTCATAATTCAAAATGGATGTGTTTTGTCCAGTATCATATAATTGTTTAATGGAACTTGATAAGGTGTACAGATATCAACTAAAATATAAATTATGTTTTATGGTACTACTCGTCGACAATTTGTTGTACATTTTTTACCTGTCTAGAAATAAGGCACCTGTCACAAACATTGTCAGGCACGAATTCAGGCATTGTCAGGAAAGATTCCTCTGATTCTCATCATTATGTCTAGCATAGATTTATCTTTTCCAATATTTTTATATTTTGTTAGATAGATCTAAATCATTATTTTCGATTATTCTTTTAACTTTTTAACTTTTTTTTTTTTTAAATTTCAGACATTTCTACAAGAGGCACGACATAAAGAAATGTCAGCCAATCGTAATAATGAATTTTTAAATTCTAAACTTAGAGATGTAAGTCTTTATAATAATTTTAAAGAAGTAACAAGTGTAAATTGTTTTGTTAAATCTATTAAGTATAACTGTTCTTTTTTTTTGTCTCCTGTACAAAATAAAATGATATAAATTTTCAATGAAATCAGCCAATATTCAAAAATAAATTAACAGATAAAAAAAAAAAATCTTCTGATTTGAAAGGTTCACAATTTCTGTAAATCTGAAAATGCCCCCCAAATTGATCAGTTTTTGATAGCACAACTTTATGACATGATTTTTTTTACATCTGGTGAAGTGGTGTTTACAGTAATCATGACCAGTAACAATTACGGCATGATAATCCGATGATATATCTTGCAAATATTATGATTAATAATTGATGGTAGAATTTTACTGCATTTTTATTAATTGATATCTTTTTGTTATGTATGTAGATGTGTGATTATTCAACATTAAAGGAACAAGTAGTGACACAGAGACATGAATTAGAAACTTTACGAACGTAAGTGTACAGCGTCATCATATCTATTTTGTTAAAACTGGGGTGGTTGGGAGAGTGAATTATATGAGCCACTGTGATCAATGTACAGTTGTACAACATTATCATACATGTATCTATTCTGTTTAAAAATCGGGTGGGTAGTTGGGTGTCGAAGGGGTTATAAGTGTGCAATATCATCATACCTGTTCTGTTCAGAATTTCCACTGTTTGGGTAAAATTTGCGTTATAGCACACAGCATGATGTATACCTGTCTTCATTAGCACGGTTGGTGCAGAATTAGAATTATTCTAGCTATTTTTTTTAATTTCAGACGATTATCAGAGGTATTAAACATGAATGAAAGAGAAAGAGGACGTAAGTATTTATTTTTATAATCATTCAATAAAACTGATTGTCTAGATCTTAATGCCGGGGGGGTTGGATGGCCGTAAGGTCTGTCATTGAGTCAACTGGCGTGGTTTCGATTCCCTGTTGTACGTGACAAGGTGTAGGGTCGCCTGTCCAATCTTGTGGGTTTTCTCTGGGTTGTCCGGTTTCCTCCCACTGCTAAAGACCCCTATGCGCAAGAGAATTATTGAAATTAAATGGAACCATGTGTTAGTCCTGAAATGACCTAGTTTGTGCCTAGTGGACGTTAAACCCCATTTCTCTCTCTCTCTCTCTCAGATCTTAATATCTCAATTCACTTTTTCTCATCTTGAAAATGATTTTTGGGAACTTTTATTTAATTTACTACTGATCAAGAAAAGAGATAAGTGCATCGTTTCTTTTATAAATATTTTGAAAGGACAAGAAGAGTTATTACGTGAAATGAGACGACCAACACCAGAGACATTGATGATGCAACGTGACATGGAACGTGCTCGAGAAAATCTTCGTCAAGAACAGGTCGTGTTTGAACAACAGAAACAACTTCTAGAAAAACGACTTAAAGATGAGGTCAGAATTATTCTTATATCCAAAATTGTGTAAAAACTATGAATTTATCGCATTTCTGACAAAATCCTTACCATGAATCACATTTCTAACTACAAACCATATCATTAATCATGTTTCTAACTAGAAACCATAATATGAGTCACATTTCTAACAACAAACCATACCATGAATCACATTTCTAACAAAAATAACAAACCATGAACCACAATTCTAAAACACAATCAAACGCATTACAAACAACAAGCCATACAATGAATCACATTTCTAACAACAAACCACACCATACCATGAATCACATTTCTAACAAACCACACCATACCATGAATAACATATTTCTAACAAACCGCACGATATCATATATCACATTTCTAACAAACTACACTTTACCATGTATCACATTTCTAACAAACCACACCATACCATGTATCACATTTCTAACAAACCACACCATACCATGTATCACATTTCTAACAAACCACACCATACCATGAATCACATTTCTTACAACATAATATAATGTGAATCACATTTCTAACAACAAACCTCACCATGAATTACATACTTCTAACTACAATAGTACAAACCACACCGTTTCTATGAGAAAACTTTGTAGTAGTTTGTGTAAAGAATTAGAATTTAATATGTTAAAACATTTCATAGTATTTAAGATAATTATTTCATAATTTATTTTAAAAAATTGTGTTTGTTTTCCATATATAGATTGATCGTAATCGAGATTTTGTTACACGTTATGAAGAACAGACGTTACAGATGAAAGAAATGAATCGTGAAGTTGTAGATCTACGTCAACATCTATCAGTTACTAATATAGGTTGGTATATATCTTCTACCATGTGTTTATATAAAATAATCTTACAGATGGTTATGGTGGGGGTGGATGGCTGAATGGTTTAACACATGTGCTGTAAATCATAAGGTCTGTCATTAGTCCCATCCCACACCCGTCATTGATCCCACCCCACTCTTGTGATTGATCCCATCCCACACCTGTCATTGATCTCATCCCACACTTGTCATTGTTCCCATCCCACACTTGTCATTGTTCCCATCCCACACTTGTCATTGATCCCATCTCACACCCGTCATTGATCCCATCCCACACTTGTCATTGATCCTATCCCACACTTGTCATTGATCCTATTCCACACTTGTCATTGAGTCCCATCTCACACATGTCATTGAGTCCTATGTAATTACATGTTATACAAAATGTAATATTTCCACTGAGAAGAACATCTCAGTATATTACAATTGCTTTATAAATGTATGTATTATTATGTCTTAGCCTGCATTGTTATATAACAAAATATGTGAATCTCGAGTTAAATAGTTAAAACATTGATTTTATAGCTCTGAATAATGAAGTTTATCGTAGACCACATTCTGAAGCAGATGGAAGGTAATATTGATTATTTATACGACATGTATTTAGTTTATATTTGTCAGATAGTGTTCAAAATACCTTAAAGCCAATCATCATACAATCCTCACATCAGTTCATAGCAGGCGTGTCAGTTTCTTCATAATACAAGATGAAACGATTTGTATTGTTTGCTGACCATTCTGGAGGATATTTTACGACTAGGGAATGAATCCGATATATGATATCTGGAATTGCAGGATGTCTTTTATAGAAATGTTTGTTTATTTCATCAAGTAAATTTAAATCTATTACAGGACGTCTCTACACAATTCTCAAAGATCAGAGAGACGTGTTGATTTTCAAACAGAGGCTGCCGACCCAGTTCTACGTACCTCTGGTCATCAAGCTAGTCTTCGTAATTCCAGTACACGACCTCGTTACGAGACTCGTGATGTTTATAATGATGTAGATTTCGATCTGGATTTAGGAGCGCTACCCACTGGTCAATACGATCCACTTGAAGAAGATTTGTCATCGGCTACATCTAATTCAGCAGACGTTGTAGCTGATGCTAAATATAGACTTAAAACACTAGAGAGGGAGGCTAAGGTAAGTAATTTAGGTAATAAAATTGTTGATTTCATTGAATTTTATGTGTTAATTTTTGATTGGATTATAATCTGTCTTTGTGTAAAACCAAAAGGAAAACCAAAGCCAGTAAAGCCAACTTATGCTTAAACTTTCAAAACAAAAGTTTAATCATTCAAATATATCTCATGGAAGTACTCGTAACATGTCCGATCAACCTAATTCGATACTGAACTGTATTTTGACCCAATCAAAGAGATTTAGCTTCTCTTAGTTTAGACAAAGCAAAGGACATGATTAGGCTGGATTTTTGTCCTGTTATTGCCCTTGTCTGAGAAGGACGTTATCATACTAACCTGGAGGTTCCGTGTTTGATCCCAGTGTTGTCTGAGAAAAGTTCATCAGCATTTTCCGGCGTGGTTCCCCCTGTCAGGGATGCAGGACAGAGGGCTTGGCACGGGACAACATATAGTCATTCGGATTGGATAAAAAACCGAGATACCATGTCACATTGACGTACACGTGAAAGAACCCTTGATAGTTGGAATTCGATATAAGAGTAGGCTGTAGCACCGCTGTCTGGGAAAAATTTCTCGCATGGCATATGCCCGTCTTCATTAGCCCAGTCGGAGCAGGACGTTAAATCCTTAAATAATAGTAGCATTGAATAATAAATACACAATGGTTACAACAATATAATGCTGACTTTACCTTTTGTTATATTTTAGAATTTAGAGAAAGCATACCAGAATTTCCACTATAACATTACAAATCCCAGTTCCGTCCCTGATCCAACTTTTTCAACCAATCAGAGAGAAGCTGAACCATCTCGTAAGTTACATAAATAAAACAGATTTATATCAACAATGGAAATATTTTTTCCTTGTTGGCGGAATTGCATAGAATGATGTTTATTGTTTAAACTACACAAAACTTTGATCATTTTGAGATAAAAAATATGGTCATTTTTATTCCTATGGTTACGTATGCAATGCTAGGTTTGGAAATTTTAATCGTACATAGTCTTCAAACTCTCATTGCTCAACAATTCTATTCCATGCACATCGATGTGTACATGGGTGGGGGGGGGGACCTTGTTATTTTGTGTATTCCAAACACCATTTTTCCATGTCAGCCCAGCAGACGTTGCCCTCGACAATTGGAATTGTTCTTGAAAAAATTATACCAGTTCTTCTTGGCCCATGCCAGGTTTTAGTACTTAATTGAATAAGGAATATTATATTTTATATATTTTCAGGGTCTCGTTCAACAGTCAGCCACGCAAGTCATGTGATATCTCCTGCCCAATCACCAATACCTCATTCCCGTCCTATGTCTTCAACGCCTCATTATCATCATACAAAAACACAACAACAACAATACAGTGATGGTATGTACTACACACAGTTTATATATCCCCACATTTAATATATGTATGTTTTGGTTTCGAATCCCCAGTTGTACGTGACAAGGAGTAGGGTCATCTGTCCAACCTCATGGGTTTTCTCCGGGTCCTCTAGTTTCCTCCCACTGCTAAAGACCCCTACACGCTAGCAAATTATTGAAATAAAATTTTAAAAAAACATATGTTAGTCCTGAAATGACCTAGTTTGTGTCGACTGGACGTTAAACCCATCTCTCTCTCTCTCTCTCTCTCTCTCTCTCTCTCTTTTTCTTGTGAACCAGACACAGAAGAACCGTATCAAAAATTTACCCAACAATCATAGGCAGTGATGTCTTGTTTATATGTCTAAAGAGAAAGATGAATGTTGCAATATTTTCAGTTCATCATATATTTGTAAATGCTGAATGGAATTAAACCTTTTTGGGGCTTAAATTCCTATTTAGAGATTCAAGTTTCACAATACTGTAGTTTGAAAGTGATCCCCAATTCCTCAAATGAAAATCACTGGCAGTTCGAGAATGCTATTTTTCAACTGCTTTATAATCAATACTTCTTTTTAAAGTAGGTAGAATATGAGGAACTGAGTTGTAAATGTTTTGTTATAGATAGTTTTGAAGAATTAAGTCGAGGGAGTAAAGAAAAAGTCAAGACTCCTGATCCGTTATTAAAGTTTAATCTTTCCGCTATGTCGGAAGATGATCATAAACGGTAAGTTGTGAAGCCCACGAAAGTCGGAATAATCAGAATGTGTTAACACTGGTCAATAGAAATAAAGTACCGGTACCTGTGAAAGACATTGTCGAGCACAAATTCAGGTTTTGTCACATACAATTCCTCCAGTGTCTGTTATTTTTTCTGGCACAGATTTAACTTTTTATCTATACTAATATTTGTGACTGTCGATTGTCTGTCTGTCTGTCTGTCTGTTCAGGGTTGGCGGCTACACTAGGGTTGTACGAGACTGAAATTTGGTGTATAGGGGTAGCTTAGACCAGGGAGTAACAAAGGACTGGTGGTGATGGCCAACCACTTCTTGTTTCTGAGTTATGCTACTTTCGGTTCATGGCTATACCTGTGCTACGCTGGGTCAACTACTAGGGTATTGATATATTTAATTAATACATGTCTGGCACAAAGTTCAAAATGTCTGGTACTATTTCAGTGATGCCTGACATTTTCACAGATAGGCCTACATACAAAATCGTTTTTACCAGGTTGCATATTTGTCTGGTGACATATTTATTCTAATTTAAAATTAAAAAAAAAACTTTGTTCCATATATATCTTTTTATATTCATATACACAAGTGTTAAGTTTAAAAAGTAATTAAATTTTTGTTATTTTCGTGAATTTTGTGTATTATATTCAGAAGATGTTTGAAATACAGGTTATCTATTTTTCAGTAATGTTGTGGAAAAACGAGATAAATCGCGCCCAATAACTATAGATGATTTAGAAGCTCGTCCAGGTTCACCAAGTTTAGTTGTAGTGGCCGGCTCCGAATCTCCCAGTGAACACAGTCGTGATAAAGATGTCACAGATCGTCTTCAGAAAGAAACACCTGCTTTCTTACCTCCCATCTCATTGGATGATGCGTGGAAAACAACCAATCAAAAAACAGGTAATACATCAGAAAATTTTTAAGTACTCAAAACAAATTCATATTTCTTTCTATATTCTTGAAATTTTGCTTTATTATACCACACAAACGAGGTAAAGGGAGATATATTGAAATGGGCTCCGTCCTTCCTTCCTGGTTTTGATTTCAAAGCATATCTCATAAACTGTTCAAGATATCTTAATGAAAATTGGTACATACATCAACCTGTTACTAATTAGAAAAGTTTGTGTTTCCATGAAACAATTTTGTCTTTAAGTTTTTGTTATAGAAGGGCATGGGTTATTGATGACTGAGTGTTCTTATTTGCTTTGGTTGGACTGTATATTGACATTGTTGGTTCATTTTAATCTCTACTTACTTTGGATGCAACATAACTCTTAGATTGACTTCTGTTATTCTATCAGATGGAGATCAGGAATTAGAGAGACAGAGAGAAGAATTAGAGAAAGAAAGATGGGAGGAAGAAAGAAGAGAAAGAGAAGAAGAGAGAAAGAAGGTGGAAAGGGAGGAATATGAGAGAGAACAAAGGGAGTTAGCAAAGCTAGAAGGAAGGGCTACGGTAAGATGAAATTCGGGGTCCTAGAAGATTTAAACTTCTTAAAATCTGTTACATACAAACACTATTTTATTACCATTTGACACAATAGTATGCTGTCCTTATGTAACTTACAGGTATCCTGGTTGTCAAGGAATCCCCAAATTGGACCATTAAAAAATTTCAAGACAGTTCTCACTTATCCAGGTTGGCATATGGAAAGCGTGTCTAGTGATTGCACAAAAAGCTAGGTCCACCCAACCCATGTAAACACTGACATGCTCGTAAAAAGAACATCTTGGTAGTCAGAATTTGAGGAAGAGTTTACATAAACACTGCTTTCCGGGCAAGGTCCGCCTACTTCCATTGCACAGGTAAAAATGGAAATGGCCATATGTTAGTCTCAAAATGAATAAAGTATTGTGACTTTAAACCCTGTTTCATTTTATACTTAATACATTGTGTATAACATTTAACATATAATAATTCTGATTATATAATTGTATATAGAGTGATGATGAGAAAGAGGAGAATACTGGGATAGAAGAAAAGAAACAAGAAGAAATAGATCCTGTCATGCAACAATACATGGCCATGGTACAACAAAACAGACAGAAAGACACAGACACACAAAAGGTCAGTTTGTATTCTATGTCTGTCTTAATTCATGATCTAACCAGACTAATGAAGAGTGACATACGCCATGCAGGCAGCTACTTTATGATCTACCTTTTCGATTTCCAACTCTTGGGGTGTCTTTAACATACTCCAGTGATATACATGGGAGAGACCTTAATTTTTCATTCATCCCAAACAGCCAGTCTTGTCTTGCCAGGCCCTCCGTCCTGCACTAATGACAATGGGAAAACAGGCTGGAAAATCCCAAGAAACTTTCCTTGACTAACACAACACCGGGATGGGACCCAGGACCTCCTGACTAGTAAGAAATGAGATGATAATGAATCTGAAATTGTGAACTGGGGCTTGTCATGAAGATAAAATAATGCAAAAGTTATCTCAATTATCCAGACTCTTAGATTTAAATATGTAAAGGGAGGTAATGAGCTTATATGTATCCAAGATGCCAGGGTAGTAAATGTGCTTTGATAATAGCTATTAGTAGTGACCACCCATTATAAATATATACATTATTATTTCAGGAAGTCAAATCACCAGCTAAAGTGACAAAAAGTGGACAGGTAATTTTTATGAATTTACTGTAACATCATAGAATTTTATTAAAATGGGTTCGTTCGTCTGTCTGTCCATCCGTCTGCTTATCCATCATACTTAATTGGACACAATAACTCTCCTTCTAAATGAGCTGGAATGATGGAGTTCGAAGATGAGCATTTTCTGCTTAGGGTAAGCAGAGATAAGTAATTTGATTGGTTGATGGCTTGAGACACGATAACTTTAGTTTTAAATAAGTGAGAGTAATGAAACTTGGTTTATAAACTTTGTGGTTAAACTGCAGATTGCTGAAAATGAATTCTCAAGATATCAAGTGTTTTTGTTCAAGACCTTAGGGCTTAATAATAATAGAGTTCTGAAATAATCTTTGTCCTAGTTACATGCATTTGTTATTATTATTATTTTATAGGATAAATCTCCCATTCCAACAGATGAAGAAATTTCTATAGCAGAAGATTTAAAAAGGTAAAAAAAATGTATTGATATCAGGCTGCAACTCACCAACAACTTATTAATTAAATTTCTTCCTCTAGTCTAATGTTTCAGTACAAAGTGAAATAATGTAGATATTCTGTTACATAGTTGTTTATAAATAAATTAATAGTCAGGAATGTACTACACACTAAAATATTTATAATTAAATTTATTACACATAAGTATATCAATTGGGATTGGGTGGTTGAGCGATGTAGCGCCTGTGCTTTAGATCTTAAGGTCATGTATTGATTCATATGATGTCATAGCATGGAATAGGTTTAACATTCAGTATAATATCTTTTGCACCAAGCAAGCTAATGAAGATGGGCATATGCCACATAGTGTGATATAATATATTATGATATAAGAGCAATTTTGCCCAGGCAGCAGTGCTACAACCTACTCTTATTTCAATTCCCAGGGGAATTTTAATACACCGCTAATGGTATAAACAGGACTTCAGGATTTTGTCTATTTTAAACTGTGATGAAAGAAAGTTGGATATGTATGAAGCAGAATTCACGGCATAATTCTGTTAATAAGTCTCAAATTCTGCTCCATACATTTGTCCCTAATTGTATTTTAATGAGATGCTTATTATTATTTATTCTGTTTCAGTGATAATAATTCTGATGATGGTTTTAGTTGGTGAGAAGAAAACGACTAGTTTTAAAATAATACTCTGTCCATCCGTCCATGTTTCCTCTTCTCCAATTATTGGATGGTAAAATGTCCATAAATTAATTATTGAGAAATAGATTTATATGTCAACTGATTATATTTACCATTGATTATTAATGGAATAGCAAGAAATTAAAATGTCCATCTTTTATGTATTAAAGAAATAGTAAGAATTTAAAATGTCCATTGTTTGTTTTGTTAAATGTACAACAAGTTTTTATAGAATAAAATATGTTATATTAATATAAAGTAAATTGATACATGAATAGCTTTTAAATTAATTTGAAGAGTTATGGCAATAAGTACATTGGGGTTTGACTTCTGATTCCCTTTTAAATAATATTGCAGACAAATTATCATGTAGCTGTTAGCTAATATCGGCCATTTTCAGACATTGGCGTAAACTCTAATCTGATTAAAACACAGATCCTGTTTGATTTCGTTTTTAATAGTTTGAAATTTGATTTGTCTTGAAACTAGTGGACTGTAGTAAAGGTCTAGTCTCTGGTTCCCAGACATGTCTTGTACATATACATATATTGCCTGGGTACTCAAGACTAGTTGTGTCCATTCGGAGTATAAACAGGTCAAATTTATTAGGAGATTGACATAAATTCATTGATAATTACTGTATATTGACAATGGATGCCATATATTTTCTATGTGTGTATATAATGTAGATATAATTATATTAGAAATACATGTAGTATTTTATGTATAAATATGTAAAAACTATAATCTATATTCTAACAACTCATGTGATATTTATAATTTAAGAAGAAAAAATAAATTTCTTTTTTATTAACATAGTTTTTATTCCAAGATACTATAGGCCTTACACTTCTATAGGTTCCATCCATGAACTGGTATAAATGTTTTATGATATCATCTTCTTCAGACCACTTTAGCCAGCAGCGCTTGTGAAAGAGTCAGGATTTTTCAGATCTAGGTTATGATAACTTGATGAACTTTAACCCCTATTCTCATGATACAGCCGTTTTATGAATCCGGTTCTTATTAACTGATTCGATTCGTTTTGCCTTTTCTGTGCTGTATTCATGTACTGTTCCTTCTATGTTCTGTCTAAATTATCAAAGAAATTATTTTCCTGAAATAAGAAAAAAAAACAAGGTCCACAGATTATTCTCAAATTTTAAGATTACTAGACCTTTGGATTCAATTTAAAAATGACTAGACCTCGATGTGATGTGAGTTTAAAAAAAAATAAAGAGTCAATTTAATGTTTTGGTTTGCCTTGTGTGGCTAGTATCTGTCAACATGTAAAAGTTTGGGGCCACATATAGAGCCCTTGTTGAGATATAACTGATTTTGTATTCCATAATCGACAGTTAAAGCAAACTTAACTCAAATTAGGAAGCAAACCTACTCCCGCTTAATATTTCAAGAGGAAAAAAATGGTTTACTCCCTCCTGAGCGTGATTTGAGCGAAGTAGGAATCATTTGCAAAGTAAAATATTATAAAAGTTGAATTTCTAACAGGAATATCAGCCCTAAGTATGATTTTAGATATTTTCCGAAAAATGCACGTCAATTACCGTTTTGTTTTACTTTGATCCTTGATTGATTCTCTTCTTTAAAGCGATAATTTCATATTTTCTGAATCATAATTATTTCTGTGTCTTTTGGTCAATAGGTTGTCAACTCACTATTATACGATTATAGGTATTATTCTCCCTCTTAAAAATCCTTTGACCCCGGAAATAATAACACAATTACCTCCCTAGTTTTCCTATTCCCCCCATGGAATAGCTATCTTCAAACGTTTGAATTTAAAGTTGAAAATGATATTTTTGCCAATTTCTCAACTGGCAATAGCGAATTATAGGATTAATAGGATTATTCTTTAACAAGGTAGGACTGTTTATAGATACCATCTATTTTAAGGCTTTATTTTAATAAATTTTAAAAATATAACTTAAAAATATGAAATTGCAGCTTTAAGCGACATTTAGCAATTGACACACGTAATAAACACAAAAACATCATATGGAACACAATTACTATTCTAATTAAAGTGACGTTTCGTTGAAGGTTCTCTAAACGTATTCAAGGTTGGTTCATTCTGTTGTACACTTTGTTTAATAGTCTCCCATATTCTGTTTACTTCCAGCACTGACAAAAATCGAATATATTTCCTTAAAGCTACAATTTCATATTTTTAAGTTATATTTTTAAAATGTATTAAAATAAAGCCTTAAAATCGATGCTATGTATATAAACAGTCCTACCTTGATAAAGAATAATCCTATTAATCCTATAATTCACTTCATCTTCAAATTCAAACGTTTGAAGATAGCTATTCCATGGTAGGGAATAGAAAAACAAGGGAGGTAATTGTGTTATTATTTCCGGTGTGAAACATTTTTGAGTGTGGAGAATGATAACTATGATCGTATAATTGTGAGTTGACAACCTATTGATCAAAAGACATAGAAATAATTATGTTACTACTTTCTTAGAAAATATGAAATTGTAACTTCAAACCATCAGATACACGAATATAATCTGTACAATGATTTTTTTTTTCTGACACTATTTATTCAATAAATATTTACATAATATAATTGTGGGATCTGAAAACAAGCGAGAGCTTCTATAAATTCATCTTCCCAACGATCTTCAATCAATTCAAAACTATACAGGAATAATCTGGCATCGATTTCATTCAGGACGAAAAACGAGGTCCTGTGTGCACGTTGGCGAGCGCGTAAAAGAGACCCTTGGAATTCAATTGTTGACAAAATTTCCCTCATAGTACATTGCATGGCGTATGCTATTTTTCATTAGCCCCTGAAACTTCATTTATGGTTAAACTCTAATTATTATTTTCAAAAAGGTACTGTTTTGCCTCATTTTCTTCAGTGTACTAACATTGAGATATCTTGTAACCACACAACCGATCTTTTCTGTGAAGCCTGTATCACTAAAGATCTGGGACCCTTAAGGTCGTTCCTTCTAATCAAACTGGTTCAGGGCTTGTAGTGTCGTTTGTTACGTGTCTTCTAGTATTCTGTTTGTTTACATCTGGTGCGGTTCTCCTACGCCCTATATTTGGGGATTGGGGGCATACAATGAAAGAGTTGATCCAGGACATCACCAAAACTCTGCACGCCACTTTATCCATCTTTGTAAAAAGTTGTTTCAGCCACCCGGGCGATTATTACTTTGAATGAGTACAGACACCATGCGAAGAAACTTCAATACAAATCAAAGCACAAACAATATAATTATCTAGTGACGATATGCATGTAATTTAAAATGACACATGGACAAGAAAGCGCCAATTCAAATTTAAAAAATAACATAAACTGTTAGTTTCTGGAATCTGCCACAAGGTATAGTTTATATAATTGGTGTAAATTTTGCTCAATTTAGATTGTAAATGTAAATATGTGCGTGACATATTCTAGAATCTAAAATTATACTAGAAGTTGAATCAATCATTATTCATTTAGCTTCTTGTAATTTGAAACCATTGAATGTTTCTATTGATGATTGCACGCGATACTTTATTCTATGTTGACATGTTGTTTTCTAGTATGTCAGTTCAATAAGGTTAAAACACAATTTATCTTGGTGCAAACTGAATTAGCCGACCCTCTCTCCTGGCAGTGCCGGATTTAGGCATAAACTAAACCAACAACACAATCGACAAGAGCTTCACAAAATTTCAAATTTGTTTGATCTTTATGATTTTGTGGCGATCCAAGGTCCTAGTTTGGATCGTAGGCAGCTCGCGTACCCTGTTGGTGGGTGAACAAACCAACGCTTGGCGAATTCTGCTTCGAAATGATAGGGAGAGCCGACATCGAAGGATCAAATAGCACAACTTTTACGATTGATCTCATACTCCATATCTGACAAGTGTTTACTACATGGTTTCTAAAACATATGTACATAAGCCCAATGGGGGGGGGGGGGGCACCTAATAATTTGTCACTAGAAGGGCAAGCACGTTTCAGCTCGTTTCGCTAACAAAGTGTTAACCCTTAGGAATTTTGTTCCAACTGACCTGCATAGAATTTGATCTAACAAAAGAGATTGATTTTTGTTCTGTACTGTAGGCTAATAGTATTTTTTGCACAATATGTTAGCACAGGTAAGCTATTGTTAACAAGATTAAATCCAACGTAAGTTTCTTTGTAATTGTTTAAATTCAATTCATAGTCAGTGCTTACACTAGAAAAAAATAGGATTTTCATGTATAAAATCCTAACAGCCAATGTATTGTTCGTTTATTCATTCAATTTTATGATTGACAATGTAAAGCCATCGATTTATATATAGTATTTAAAAACATTTGGGGATCTCATACGACCAATATATACGAAAGCGGACAAAATTACCTCCATACTGTTACATCTCACGTGTGATTCAACCACCATGAGCAATACTATGTTACTTCACATATGATTCGGTCTCCATAAGCAATACTATTAGATCTCACATGTGATACGACCGACATAAAAAATACTATTATATCTCACATGTGATTCGGCTTCCATAAACAATGAGCAATACTATGTTACTTCACATATGATTCGGTCTCCATAAGCAATACCATTAGATCTCACATGTGATACGGCTTCCATAAACAATAATCTATTATATCTCACATGTGACTCGACCTCCATATACAATAATCTATTGTATCTCCATAAACAATAATTTATTATATCTCACATTGTGGTTCGACCTCCATAAACAAAATTATTATATATCACGTGTGGTTCGACCTCCATAAACAATATTATTATATATCACGTGTGGTTCGACCTTCATAAAGAGTACTATTGTATCTCACATATTATGATTCGGCATTTATACACGACACTATATTAATATATACCACATGTGATTCGTCAGCATAAACCGAAATATATTATATCTCACATATGACTCGACATCCATCAACAATACTATTATAAAACACATGTGGTTCGACCTTCAAAAACAATACTATTATATATCACATGCGATTCGGCCTCCATAAATAATAATATTATATCTGACATGAAATTCGACCTCCATAAACAATACGAGACAGAACTCCATATTGCAAAGACTCAATCCCAATCCATTTCTCTACCGCCACAAAAGCGTACGATATTATATACAATTCAAATCATTTTTATTTATTTTTCAAAAAGATCAAGGAAGAGCAAACAATTTATTACTCAACACTTTTGTTATAGATTTACAACCGTGACCGCCACAAACAAATTATATACAGCCATTATGATCGGATATTACCGTACAAGTTAAACCATTGTAAACTTGGATTAGGGACTGAGGATTAGGGTTTGATAAAGGGAGATAATATTACAAAATCAGTGAACCAAGTTAGGATTACCCTTACTTACAATGGCTAGACCCTTTCGATTTTGGTCCAAAATATAATTTTCAATTTCAATGCATTTTATTTGGTGAATTTTTTAGGCATGGATAATTTGTCTTCGTTTAAAGATGCATTCTGTAGTAAGAGCTAAATCTGCCAATTGCAGATCTTTCTTTTGGCCTCAAATTTCAAATTTTATATAAATTATCAATTAGACATTTATTCACATGGTACGCCCATAATCAATTCCCTTGACCATCAATGGTTGTGATTTTGAACGGATTGAAATACGATCTCCATTTAATAATTTAACATAAAACTGGTTAATCAAGACTTTGCTTTTTATCCTAACAACGGTAGCAATGAAAATCGAGACTACACTATTTTTGGGTTTCCCTGGTTCCTCTGTGTCCCCGGTTTCCTCCCACAGCTAAAGACCCCTACACGCAAGTGCATGATTGAAATAAAATTGAACCATACGTTTGTCCCGAAATAAATTAGTTTGTGTCGAGTGGACGTTAACACGTCTCTCTCTCTCTCTCTCTCTCTCTCCCTCTCTCGCTCTCGCTCTCTCTCTGTAAGTGAATTAATAACACATTGAGCCAGCAGTTCAATATTTTATTTTGAGTCTAAAATAAAGAGATTTAACTGATCAATTTTTATATTTAAGTTTGGACAAATCAAATGAACAGCTTTGATTAGTTTTCTGTAAATGAGATTGTCTAATCCGTTCCTGGAAAGTATTACAGAACTGTTTAAGTGGCAATTGATCGCCAATTCCACAATGTAATATAAAATAAATCTAACAGAATTGACTCATTTGAATCATGTATGAGTTTGTGTGAAATTGTTTTATGCAGCGTCCGCTTCTCCCATGGCGATATCGCAGACAATACAATTGATGAGTGCTATATACTTACAAAAAGATCCATATTATACTCATCATGGGATATATACTTTAACCATATACACACCATGGGATATATACTTTAACCACTGGGGACACAATCCTACTGGTAGTATACGATCAATTTCTAATCAAAATCAGCAATTTCTATTTTATAATCTTTCTGGCAAATCATCAAACGAAATCAATGTTTTACGTTGGAACCACATAAATAATCTGTGCCGAGTAGGAGCAAGTGAGAAAAACATTTTAGCATGTTTAAAGTGAGAAATTGTAAGATGCCACATTTTTTTTATAACTTTTTTATTTGAGCAATATCTAATAATCTAATATTATGCAGTGTTAATGTTGCAACCGGTAGAAATGGAATATTACGATTTTTGGTACATCAATGTAGGTAATGGGGCAAATGCCACATGTCACTATGGATAAACACCTACACCAAGTTTGAACATTCTAGCTCAATTAGGAGAGTTATTGTGTCCCAAAAATTGTGACAAACAGACAGACGGTCGGACCCATTTGAATAGTCCCATGCTTTCTTCGATGATGTTGTCAAGAGAAAATTACGCGCTTTTCGTAAAGAGATGGAAAGTAGCGGGTTGACATCACACTTGTGTATGTATACGCTAGAACCCCTATGTATGCTGAAATACAGACATTTTTCGCGGGTGAGGATGGGAGGGATATCCCCTCAGATACCTCTGTGCCAGTACTTCAGGGTCTTTTTTTAAAATATCCCCTGGGTGGGAACGTCATGTCTGCCAAATTCTCCTACCGTGTATGGCACACGCCACGATGGAAATTTCCATATACGTTTATCTAAATCGTGCATAATGCATCTTTAATATGACCGAAAACAGGACTAATGTGCCTATATATATACTATTCAAAAAAAGTAGGGGATATTTGATTTTTAAGTGTTATTAAAGTCACCTAATGAAACTGACGAAGAAACAAATGACAAAATGAAATGAAGTTCACATTCATCGATTTATTCCAAATGATCGTTAGACTAAGTAAGGCACAGACTGACCATTATAAGGGTAAAATGATACCCGGGGTCAAACAGCAAAGTTACCACAGCATCACAACTAAGTCAGTAACGGGTAAATCCTCCTCTGTTTGCCAAACAAGCATTGATCCGACGTGGCATACTCCTAATGAGACGTCTAAGGTCATTTTGGTCCAGATTGTCCCATTCCTGTTGCAACGCAGCAGCAAGTTCTTGGACATTGGCAGGACGTTGTTGACGTTGACGTAACCTCTGTCCAAGCATGTCCCAGACATGCTCGATGGGGGAGAGGTCGGGACTCAGTGCTGGCCAAGGTAATGTGGTGATGTTCTGTTGTTGGGGGTAACCTGTAACGATCCTGGCCCTGTGACATCTTGCGTTGTCATCCTGGAAGATGAAACGGCGGCCATGACGTCGTGCGAACGGCACAACATGGACTGCCAAGATGTTGTCCCGGTAGTACTGGCCTGTAACACGCCCTGCAACAACATGTAAAGCCGTTCTTCCAGCAACAGTGATGCCTCCCCACACCATAACAGAACCACCCCCAAATCGATCATGTCTGATGACGTTAACGTCTTGGAAGCGCTCGTTTCGACGACGCCACACCCTCCTACGTCTGTCCAAAAAATCAACAGTGAACCTTGACTCATCTGAAAACATTATATTGCTCCAGCGTCGATTATCCCAGTGTTGACGATCCCTACACCAACGACGTTTTGCCTGAATGAGATGATCTCTCAAACAAGGGATCACGCGAGGACGTCGGGCGCGAAGGTGACCCCTATGCAGTCGATTCCGAATCGTCTGGCCACTCACTCTCACACCAGTGTCTGTTTGAAGACGAGCGCTGATCTAATTTGCTGTGATGACACGATTTCTCAAGGCCAAGGTACGGATAAATCGATCCTGGGCTTGAGTTGTCGCCCTTGGTCGACCTGAGCGTGGTCTGTCCTGTACAGATTGTGTATCACGGTATCTGGACCATAGCCTGCTTATGACAGACTGAGAAACATTCATCGTCCGCGCCACAACCGCCTGTGTTGTGCCGATCTGTAGCATGCCAAGGGCACGTAACCTTTCATTTTGGGTAAGCCGACGCATATCAAAATTTGTTTTCTGGTCACTAAAACAATTAAACTGATGTTTCCACCCTGGAATTCAATGCCACAATGACTGTAACATTCAAAGTCAGAGTCGTGCAAATCTTGGGTTGGACCCCCATGATGATCCCAAGCATCACCTGCATTCCATGCGGTAGCTATTGGTGCGTTTGGGCGTCACATGTAACTGGAAATGTTTCTTCTGTTAGGTTCTATAGTGACTTTTTTCGTAGTCATTTGCATATTTTAGTATTATGCCCCCAAAATCAAATATCCCCTACTTTTTTTGAATAGTATATATAAAACTATTAGGATCTATAGGATCTATACAAGTCTATGATATTGGATATCGATCTGCAGTAATTGATAGAGTCAGGTATCTCAGCAAGCCGGATTATAGATCTATCTATTATGTGCTAATAGAGATAGAGGAAATTAAAAATAAAATGCCACAATGAAATCAAATAAACAATGATATTAAGCAGCAATACGTCAACCAATAAATCTTTTTTAATTCTATTACTACAGCCAAAGTTGATTAAATCTTGGCTAATACTAAATCGACCAATCATGGGTAATATTAGACCATACTTGTATAATACCGTTCAACCAATCGACATAATGTTATTATTTACACGGCATATTAAAGGGACATTTAATACAGATTCTTTTCCGATATGGTTTAGAATATGTGACCCGAAATGGGGTTTGGCGTCCTACTTTTGTGCACCAACTGGGCTAATGAAGACGGTCATACTGTGTGCAATATGCTGTCAGGGACATTTTGCCCGTTCCGCCCACTCACATCGAATTTCAACTGCCAAAGTCCTACTTGCGTACACACCAACTTGTACATGGGACATCGGTTTTTCGTCCGATACGAACGACTAGATGCTCTTCCTTTGCAGGTAGGTCCACATTACGCCAAATCTGAGAGGTGGATATACTCTAAAACATAGCTTTTATTGACGTATGCAGTTTGGGGAAGGAGGTGTTTAATTGCGTTTCTTCGAATTCAGTTGTCGCGGCAGTTGTAAATGAAATTAAATAGGGTTTAACTTTCCACTTTTCTCCACGGGCATACACCATGCAGTGTTTTATGGGGAAAATTTTGTAGACTTATATATAAAACATTGTGCTATAACGGTTTAGGTAATAAAACAATTGCCACGGCTTTAAAATTAATAGCCTAACAGGGATTACCACAACCTTCAATTTGGGGGTTAGAGGTATTTGTCCTTTCATTTGCAAAATCCCTGTTATGCCTGTCATTGCCCAAATGAAAACATTTCGCAGCACTTAGTGTCTCTTTAAGTTTAATCTAAGTGAGATATATTGAACCGTAACGCCGTGTAATACCTTACGGTATTATAGGGGTTCAAAACACGCCAAGTCTTCATGGTTACCACGATTGAGTCTTTTTCCTGGAACATATCAGCAAAAAACGCAGCAAGAACCTGTGTGCTTTTTCTGGATCTTCTATATTTTGTAAAATTTTCGAGATTTAACTCCGAAAATATTCCGCGCTGTTTAGTTTTGCGGTAAACGTATTTAAAGATTATTATTAACTTCTACAAAGAAGCGGACCAGATTGGATAATTGTTTTCCGCACTTTTGAATGAGCGCTCAAAATGTTGAGATATACTGGCGAGACTGTAAAACACTGTGAATGACAACACGGCTATAAATTAATTGCTGAGGATTAGATTTCTGTTTATGACTGTGTTATTCATCGCATTCTCTGGATATGGTGCGTATGTCGCTTTAGGCCAGCTTTTGTTTTAAATTGGATTCTTTGTCAAGTTTTCCGTACAAATGGCACTAGTTAGAAAAGCAACATTTATTTTACCAGATGATGACAGACTAAGTATTTCAAGTTCTCTGTCATCAAGATCATTCACGAGTTCGTCCTACGCTAACGTACCGGCCATTTCTAGACAATTATCACGCGCATCAATAACAGAAGGCAAACTTCCAGGAACCAGTCCGAGAGGAAATAATGCTGCATTCGCCCGAAGAGCGTCCATAGCAACTTCAGGTTTCAAGAACCAGCCTAGATCATTCAACACGGTTGGTAAAAAAGTCACGAGCATTTTAAGAGCGAAAATGGCGTTCAAGCCAAAATCGAGAACAGTACAAGAAATGCCAGTTGTTGTAGAAGATATTAAGGAATTGCCCAAAAGTCCACGATTTTCGTCTTATTTGTCCCCAGAAGCACAGTTCGCCTTAATGAAAGGTTATGAAGATGTCCTCCATGATGAAATTGCCTTTTCACTTCCAGAATATCGGCCACATCTGAAGAGAACCAGAACACCACAGAACACTATTGAAATTAAAAAAGGCGGGAAAACGACAGACACGGACGTGAACTTGAAGAACTGGGATGATCGCGAAGAAGCTGATAACCCCATTGCAAATAAAAGTAGTAACATTGTTGAAGAGGAAGACATCTGGGACTTAATAGGAGACACTCGATCTGGAAGAAGGCCTAGCCTACCGACACAATCGCCCTTATTCCGGTCCAAAAAGGCACAGCGGTGCTCCTCATCTAGTGCCGTCATCTCACGTGATCGACGTCTCGTGCTAACGTACCATTTGGAAAGCGCTATGGACATATTGGACACAGTACGTCATCGGAGTGGCGCAACACCCATTTCTCCCCGTGTTCAGATGTGTAAACGTACAATAACCCCTGTTAAAGACTATAATTCCTGGACCAACGTATGGCATCAAGAATTTGACTGTAAACAACCGGAATCATTACACAAATTCACAGACATCAGACGGGCTCTATTCAAGGCTTAAAGCGTGCAGAAAATGGTATTTAGCCCAACCCCGAAAGACAATTCCAATTTATAAAAAAAAAACTAATGGAGTAAAAATTCGGATGTAACTTTTAATAGTTGTGTCGATCAATATATAATTGCAAAACTTTGAGTAAAAAAAACACCTTTAAGGCCCATTCACACGGTGCGACTTGTAGTAACTACTTGTAGTATCTACATGTAGTATCTACATGTAGATTACAAAATCGTATATAAATGAGTTGATACGACTTGGAATCTCGCGATAATCTCGTCTTGTCTTAGCATAATGGCGCCCTATTATTGCCCTACATTTGATAAATAAGAACAAAAAGAAAAAGAGTAAACCCAAATCCGTCTGGGTTAGACAGTGATACTGGGTAGACCCACTGCCGGCGCGTACAGTTCCCTATTACGTGAACTTGAAGAAAAAGGCCCTTGATGGGTGCGCTTCGCGTCCATGTTTACCAACAACAAAGGGAGAGAACTCGTGTTTGTACTAATACTCGACGTCTCTGATTGGTTAATTTCATACGATCTGTTGACTGAAATAGGGAAGTTTCTATTTCGCTCAACTCGCTTTCAACTGGTTGGGAGCTTGTAAAAGTTGGTACGACTAGGGTGTTCTCACGCTGCATCTCGGGTCAATACTACAAGTAGTTACTACAAGTCGCACCGTGAGAATGGGCCTTTAGGAACATACGAAAAGTATACCACATTCTACCTGGTCTAAGTTTAAAATGAAATTCAATTGTATTACTGATTTGGCCGCGACGATCACTATTAACCACGGCAGGACGTATCTAGATATGCTTAACCAGGCACCTACACAGTTTGCAATTTGGTGACTTATTGGCAACCACACATCGAATGTAAAACTTTTTATTTCGATGGAAAAAATATCACAGCAATTAGGACAGTTCCACAGAAAAGGCCTAGAGGTTTCCAAGAGACCTTTGCCTCAGTTTTAGCAATTGTGGTTTTAGTGTGTGGAACGGGGACTGGAACCACGTGCTTTGTCAAAGTGAACAGACCTCGGGAACCGGGGAGCGTTCTTGATCTGCATGAAATGAAACTTCGTAGTAGGCCAATATTCAGGGACGTACATAACGCTTTTGTTTGGGGGGGGGGGGTGTTTAGCCAAAATGCGACCGACTGATGCACATACCCCAGGCGCGAGTTTTCTAGGGGACATGTGCAGAGCAGATCTCGAAGCTGGGAATAGGGGGTGGTTCCAAATCTAGGGCGCCATCCACAATCCCACCCCACAATGAATGTCAACAAAATACTGGCTATAACATTAAGCGTCCCAGTAGAACATACTTGTTCGCCGATCGTTGTCTCGCCGGAAAGCAGTTTTATTTAAGTTGACATGTTTATGTCATACATGATAATTGTGCCTATAACACTGAGCAACCTGAGAAAATTTTGAAAAATTGAGTCAATATCCTAGCACTTGAGGTCATTGCTGGGGGGAAGTCTTGTGGACGAGAGGACCAGAAATGTGAGCCAATGGGACAGAATCTCGAGATCTCCCCCTGTCAATTCCGCCTGTTTTGCAAGAGTTGACATAACATTTGTATAGTCTGACGCCCCACGACCCACACACCAGTATAACTGGACAGTTCACTATAACCGTGAATATGATAGTGCCGAGACAGTATAAGAAAACAGAGGAATAGAAGAATGTTGCTACAACGGAATCGAGCGCCGCAGGCGCGAAAAATTTTCAGATATGTAACCGGGCTTTTAATTTTTCGGGACTGGGACTGAAAATTTTAGTCATTGTCATGGCAAATGGAACCAAATTCTCGCTAACGAGAGAATAAGAAATGAGACAGAATCTTGCGGCCTATCAGTCAATTTCGCCTGTTTTGTAATTGTTTGTTTACCTCATTAATTCATTTAGTCTGAGACCGACTGCGGTGAGTACATTTTTTGAGACCGACTATTTTTTTACCATGGGGGAAAAAAATTTCATAGAACAACATACTCACAACAGCATAAGAGTGATTAACATTTTTTCAAACATGACAAGCAGACATAGTTATTTTATACTATAGTTTTGTGTGACGTTTGCAATTTAGGCTCACGGATTCACGCAAATAGTATTTGGGATCTATTCTGGCATTGTTTGTTTACCTCATTAATTCATTGAGTCGCCGATGCATAATTTTGAGACCGACTGCAGTGACTGCACTTATTTTGAGACCGACTATTTTTCTCCCTGGGTGAAATTTTGTTCATACACCAACATACTCACAACAGAATAAGAGTAAAACACGACATTTTTTCAAACATGATATGTTGACAAGGTTATTATATACTAAAGTTTTGCGTGAGTAGCGTGACTTATGCAGTGAGCACTTATTTTGATACCGACTGCACTGATTTTGCGACCGACTATTTTTCTTCCTGGGGGAAATTAGTTCATAGACCAACATACTCACAACAGAATAACAGTGAAACACAGCATTTGACAAGGTTATTTTATACTAAAGTTTTGCCTGAGTAGCGTGACGTATGCAGTGTGCACTTATTTTGATACCGACTGCTCTTATTTTGCGACCGACTGCACTGATTTTGCGACCGACTATTTCCCCCCCCCCCACATTTACGCCCCTGCCAATATTAAGAATATAACATAAAATTGACTTGGTAAACGATATTTATTTTGTATGTAATGTAAGCAAAAGATATGGTTCGGGTTACACAATTACAAAATAGCGACTGTGTTTTTTTGTTCTATAAAATTGATATTTGATGTTCTGTCATACTTATCTATTTGGATAACGTGTTTTCTACAGGGTTTAATTTATAGCCAATTGCCGTACAGCGAGGAGCGTAATAACGTGTTCGCAAACAATTTGGTTTGAAGCTGACAGTTTTATATTATTGTATACACCGTATTATATATTTATGTTTAAGATCCTCGAAATGAAACGTGGAAATGAGAAGGGGGTTGGGTGGCCAAATTGTTAACTCCTGTGCGTTGCATCATACGGTCTGTCATTGACTACGTGGCGTGATTTTGAGTCCCAATGTATATGACAACTTGTCCAACTTCGTGAGTTTTCTCCAGGTCCTCCCCCTGCTAAAGTAGCCTATTTGCAAGCGAATTATTTAAGTAAACAATAAACCATATATTAGTTGCGAAATGACCTAGTTTGTGTCGAGTGGACGTTGAACCCCATTTCTCTCTCTGGAAATGAAATAAAATCGGGTTCAACGATTACTCTTCGTCGAATTCCAACAGTCATTCTTTTTTTTTTTTTTTTTTTTTTGTCTTGTCCCACTGAAACGATTAGGCGTCCTGAACACTGACACGAAGAAACTATATTGTAAACTCCAGGGGAACTTACTCTTGCTGTTACTTCGCATTTACACAGGCATGGTAGATATTGTTCGGCGTATTAAATATTGTTTCATTGATTTTATGACTATTTTTGCAAAACTGTTACATAACACACATTTTATCTATATTTAACATTTTTCCTAGGAATATGTACAAATTCCACCGCAATAATTGCGGGGGCCACGGTGGCTAAGGCGCTGGCTCGCTAGCCACGAGGTCGGATGTTCGATCCCTGCATTGGCCGAGAAATTTCATACAGAATTTCCGGCGTGGTTTCCGGTGTCCTGTTGTCAGTGATGCAGGATGGAGGGCCTGAGAAGGACAGCTGTCTAGTCGTTCGGATGGGACGAAAAACCGAGGTCCCGTGTACACATTGGCGTGCACGTAAAAAATCCCCCGACAGTTGGAATTCGATATAAGAGTAGGCCGTAGTGCCGCTGTCCGGGCAAAATTTCCCTAATAGCACGCTGTGTGGCGTATGTGCGTCTTCATTAACCCAGTTCGGAGCAGAACAGTAGGACGTCAAACCCCATTTCATTGAATGTATAGTCCAACGGTAGCCAAAGGAAATATTTTTTTAGAAATCCACCTGGCAGCGCTTACCAAAACTTCCGCAATCCCAGCTAAAACGAAATCTAAATGGTCGATAAAATTAAACATATAGTTATTGCATTGGTACTTCCAACAAACACGGTGTTTAAACAGCAAGTCATAGCATAGGTCATAGATTAGCATGGCGACCCTAACCTCGTGGTTTCCTCTGGCAAATGCCTAGCGGGCCCATGCGTTAAGATGGCCATGGCACTGTCATCGTATCTTTCAATCAATATATCCATAATACCCATAATTCTACAATCTATAAAGCGTTTATGGTGTTTCATTTATTCTTTTTTTTCCCATATTCGTACATACAAACGTCTTATAATGTTGTTTTTGTACATATTCATTATTTTTAAACTTCTTATAAGTGTTGTTTCTATATTGTATCTGAAATAAACTATTTAAATTCAAATACCGTGTCTTAATGATCTCCATTGGCTTCCAGCCCGTCAATGTATCAATTTTAAAATACTCTTATTACGTATTCTGCTCTAAATGACGATTCTTGACCTCAATACCTTAGAGACCTTATCAACATTAATAAACCTTGCAGAACTATTTCTAATTTCTATTTTAGTTTTGGATTTTATAGAATAATTGTTAACTTTGTAAATGAATTTTCAATTTTGTGGATTAGTTTTCTATTTTGTAAATTAATTTTCAATTTTGTATATTAATTTTCAATTTTGTAAATTAATTTTCAATTTTGTAAATTGATTTTCAATTTTTGTAAACTGATTTTTAATTTTGTAGATAATTTTTAATTTTGTAGATAATTTTTAATTTTGTAGATAATTTTTAATTTTGTAGATAATTTTTAAATTTTAAATCAGTCTTTAAAATTATCAATTATATTTTAAAATTATTAATTATATTTTAAAATTATCAATTATATTTCAAAATTATAAAGTATATTCTAAAATTATAAACAACTAAATTGGAAATTCAAAATATAAATTGGAAATTAATATTTAAATTAAGTTTAAAATTAGAAAAACTAAGTGTAAAATTAGAGAATTAGAAATTAGAAAAATTAAAATTAAAATTAAAAATTAAAATTAAAAATTAAAATTAAAAATTAAAAATTAAAATTAAAAATTAAAATTAAAAATTAAAATTAAAAATTAGAAAAATTAAAATTAGAAAAATTAAAATTAGAA